CCTGCCAAATCCTTACACTCCTTCCAATCCTCTGTCCAAACTGCCCCATTTGTCTTTCTTTCCCATTTTTGACTTTGCTCCTGCTAACAAGCTGCCCTCTGCTTAGGCCAGTCTCACTCCTTGTGTTCCAAGCACTCTCCTCCAAATCAGTTTTCAACCCACATTTGTGATGCCTTCTAATGCTGAGCTCCCTTCATGGGGGCTTCGCTCATTCCTGGACTCAAACTGCTGTCTCACTAATTCAGAAAGATAGATTTTTAAAAAAAAAAAAGCAACAATAATTTGTTTAACCACAAAGGATACTTAGTCTTATATAAATCTGTCTCTGTGTTTTTAATATGCCTTTGGCTGAAGTATCTAAGCACTACAGAGAAAGGAAGGTTCACATTGATTCTGCCAAAGAAAAACAAATTCTCTCTTCACCTCATCTTTGTCTATAACGCATGCATGCTTGTTTTTATGTGGTTGTTTTCTGGTGCCAGGGAGCTCAACAGCATGGATACCCTCCACTCAGAATACTTTGTCTGCAGCCCACAGGAATTTCATCTCTATAACCATGAACTGCAGGGCTGCCCGGGGGGCAAGTGAGGCAATTTGCCCCAGGCCCTGGGCCCCACAGGGGCCCCCACGAGAATATAGTATTCTATAGTATTGCAACTTTTTTTTATGGAAGGGGCCCCCAAAATTGCTTTGCCCCAGGCCCCTGAATCCTCTGGGCGGCCCTGATGAACTTCAGTGTCCATACCTGTCGCACGTATGCCTTGTTGGATGGTGGAGGGAGAAGTTGTCACCAAGACATGTAGGTCTCCGATATTAATTGCCTCACAGCTCAGGATTGGCACCTCGAACTGGATCCAGAATTGGATCAGGAACCAGTGCAGTTCTTTGTTGAAATGTGCCCTACCAATTCATTTCACTTAGCAGCTGGGCTTCAGTATAATGAATTGTGGCTTCCATGTGGCCTTTGCCACCAGTCCCAAGTAAGGTGAACTGCAGAAGTCCAGCCTGGATATGTTGAAGGGATGCGACACTGTGGCTGGATCCGCATCAGAGAGGAAAGGATGCAGTCTCTGGGCTAACTGAAGATGAACAAAGGCATTTCTGGCCACTGTCACTATTGGGTGCCCAAGTAGTGCAATTAACCCAACAGGACCATTAGACTGTCCATTGCCTTGACTATCAGATACACACTCACAATAGAGGTGAAGTCACGATTACTTATTGCTCCTCAAATTGTCCCTGCTCTGTTGATATTGCCTGTATTGTATTAAAGTTCCAGGAGCTGATTCCTGGCTAAATTTGCAGCTGTTTTTCTATTAAATATTTCTACTTTTGGTCACCTCCTGAAATTCACAAAAATGGTCATATCAGCCTCAAAATTTGTAGGCTACTTCTGAGACAGGGTTCAAATTTCTCTACCAAATTTGAACAAAATCAGACAGTGTTCAGGAACAGGTACCCTAAAAACAGTCATTCATGAGAGCTTGGGGTTTTAATTTTGTTATTTTGCTAAAAAAAAAAAAAAAAAAAAAAGGAAAAAAAACTGACATGGAGGTAGCAAGAACCTAATTTACTGGACTTCTTAGCAGTGAATTATGACAGCACCGGTGTTTCGTAGTTTAGTCACACTTCAAAAGTTGTTAATCTTTTGATTAAGAACATTTATTAAGGAAATTTGGTTTCAGCAAACAATCTTAAGGTCTTTGGCAGTTACTCTCAGAAGCATATTCTGGACAACTGCACTAGAAAAGTCTGGGGAACATGAATATGGGGACTGTGAACACCTGCCCTGTGGCACTACCACAAAGGAGGCCCAGTGATATGAAGAGGCGCACTCCGAGGTATTTCAGGAGCAGGTGTTGAAGCATAGTGCTTCCCTCCCTTCCCAATTCAATGAGCCTCCTGTGGCTAGCACACTAGGGATATATCTACACTACAGCAGCACAGCTATGGTGGTGCTGTGGCACTGTAGTTTAGGTCCTGTGTCAATGGAAGGGGTTTTCCAATGTAGTTAATCCATCTCTCTGAGAGGTCGTAGCTAGGTTGATGGAAGAGTTGTGTTTTTTCCTAGCTGTGTCTACAGTAGAAGTTAGGTTGACCTAACTATGTTGCATGGGGCATGACATTTTTTCACAGCCCTGAGTGATGTAGCTAGGTCCATCTAATTTCAAATGTAGCCCAGGCCTCCCCTCTCATAAGCAGGGCCGGTTCTAGGTTTTTTGCTGCCCCAAGCAAAAAAAATCTTACACACACACACACACACACTGCACCCTCCTGCCGCCCCAGCCCTGGGTCACTGGTAACTCGCTCCCAGGGCGGGTCATTCAGCAGGAATTTTGGATGAGGACAGAACATAGACAGGATTGGTTCCCATATGGTTACAGAACTGCAGTAAAGTGGAACAATTTTCAGCTTGTGTGATTGAAGGCTATCTGGATGCATATTATAAGACTGTCCTACATAAATGAGGAAAAGTTGAGGTGCCTTTATTATTCTTTTGTTCCATTCTTTGTTTCTATGGGGAATTTGCCAATGCAATATCACTGTCTTCCTTTTAAACAAATAAAACTAAAACTTAAAAATCATAATAATAATAAAAAAAGCAATGGCTGTTGAAAATAGCAATTCCAGTCCTAATAACCACTGGGAAGCATTTCTTGCTCAATTTATTCTACTTTTTCCTACAACAAGTATATTTGATTTGGGAGAAATGAAGTAACAGCTGCCCAAATTGAGCTTGAGCACTCCTGAATTTTGAGGGTGTTCAAATCTGGAAGGCAGGTGCTGGATTCCCTTTCTGAATATTAGCTAAATCTGGAAAAGAAAAGTCAATTTCTGCTTCCATGGCTCAGAAGGGTAAATCCTCCTACGTGCCTAGTACTGTATCTAAAGCTGCCCAGTCTAGTAGAGCCTCCCCTCCCTTACTTTTCATTTTAAATTCTAGTGGGATCCACGTACCTGCCTTGCTAGGCTTCAGATAGAGAGGTGCAATGTCCATTTAGTCCACCCAATTCTTTCTTTGGGGGAGAGCCCAGGGCTGGGGTGGCAGGAGGTGCGGGGGAAGTGCCCAGGGCTGGGGCGGCAGGAGGTGCAGGTGGGGGCCAGAGCTGGGGTGGCAGGAGGTGTGGGTGCAGGGGGGGGAGAAGAGCCCAGGGCTGGGACAACACAGGGGTGCGGGGGGAGCCCAGGGCTGAGGTGGGGGGCGGCAAAAAACCTAGAGCTGGCTCTGTTCCTACCATTTACAGCAAGCTGCAGCATGAGGTTTCAGTTCTACACTCCTTCCCCCTCCCTTTCCTGTTAATTGCGGCCAAGGGAATGCTGGGCAATGTAGTTCTTTCCCTGCTCCAGGGCTGGCTCTATAGGCAGGGAGCTAACCAAGGAACTACAGCTCCCAGGGCTCCCTGTTGGTTCTCAGCTCTCATGCTGGATTCTTGCGCCCCTGCAAATTTACTTTGATGGTGCCTAGAGCCGGCCCTGCTCATAAGCCACATGAGGTTTGCTGGCAGGAGAAGGAGGAAAGCTGCATGTACTGTGTTTCTAATTTAAACTCCACCGTTCTAGGAAGGTGCTATATGCACCCAAGCCACTGAGATGTGCCTGTAACCGTCACTTGATTTGTGAAGGAATCTGTATTTAGCTTCAGCCAACTGCTTTTCAGCCAACCTCTGCTTCTCAGACATTGGGGCAGCTGGGAGATGATTTTTGTCTCCATTTCAGGATTAAGAGAAGCTGGGTGGATGTTGGCATCTCAGTGACACTACCCTCTATGGTATCTCATTCTCCCTGTCCCCTCCCCCACAGTGGCTTTACTTGGATGTAAACAGGGCCGGCTCTAGAATTTTTGCCGCCCAAGGCAAAAACAATTTTGGCGGCCCCCCCCAACTCCGCCCCTTCCCCCAGGCTCTCAAGCCTGGGAGGGAGGGAGGGGGAGCAGCGACGCGCGAAACGGCGGGATCTCCCCCGCCCTCCCAGGTTTAAAAGCCTGGGAGGGAGGGGGAGACTCCGAGCGGCCGCGGCGCGGGCGCCGCTTCTCCCCCTCCCTCCCAGGCTCTCAAGTCTGGGAGGGAGAGCAGCGGCGCACGAAACGGCTGCTCGGGATCTCCCCCGCCCTCCCAGGTTTGAGAGCCTGGGAGGGAGGGGGAGACTCCGAGCGGCCGCGGCGCGGGCGCCGCTCCTCCCCCTCTCTCCCAGGCTCTCAAACGGCTGTTTCGCGCGCCGCAGCCGCTCGGGATCTCCCCCGCCCTCCCAGGCAGCAGCAGCGGAGGTGAGCTAGGGCGGCCGCGGCACATTTTTAGGGGCGGCATTCTGGCGCCGTCCATGCCGCCCCTAAAAATGTGCCTCCCCAAGCACCAGCTTGTTTGGCTGGTGCCTAGAGCCGGCCCTGGATGTAAACATTAATAAAAAAGAGGTGGCAGCCCATATGGCAAACTTCAACTCAACCCAAATCAAGAATGGTTGAGAGAGTTTGAATCTTGAAATTGGGGCTTATAAACAGAACATGTTAATAAGAACCTTTTGTCATAAAGTTAAATACCGTGGAAAAATTAACCCCTTTCTAAAACATTAGCACTGAGACTTTTAAATCTGGCTAAGGGATTTGGACACCCAATTCTCATTGGAAAGTAATAAGAACTGATCATCTCCATAAGTGGCTCTGAAAATCCCACCCTAAGGTAAAAATGAATGGCTTGGGGCTGTTTTATTTTTAAATTAATAATAAACTTCAAACATAAAAGCACGTTGGGTAATTGTCTGGGACAGGTCTGCTTTAGAGAGGAGGGAGGCAATGTTCAAGCAAAAGGTAGGGCTAGCTCAGCCTTTTGATCTAAGTGTATTTCACATGTGATTGCCGCTCAGCTGTGGCAGTGCTATGTCCTATTGCAGTCACAGCAGAAACCTGCTGCCGTGTTGTAGGAAAAGGACTTCCTGCTACTGCTCCTCTGGGAAATGGGGCTGGAGCCACCTGCTTCCCACAAGAGTGGCCTGGGTGCAAAACTCACCTTCAACCTTGGAGACAAAACCAAGGCTCCGTTTGAGGTCTGAGCAGATGGAGTGGAGGCACCATCGGAACTTAGCATCACAGCGGTATTTGTTGGCTCCGCAGGTGTCGTAACAAACATCCAGCTGGTTACAGCACTTAGTCATGGCAGGGATGCCTAAATCCAACTGGAGGCAGAGGAAGAGAAAGGAAAGACAGCACTGCTCAGGCATTGTACTTAGTGAAGGGTCTATCCTCCTCTCCAACGGTGGTGATGCCCCTCTTTCCCCAAACCACCAAATGCTGCTCCTTGACCCAAAGCTTCTGCTACAATTCCAGTGTTAATGCCATAGTTGTAACAAACAGAGCTGTAAGGTCAAGAACAAATACACTTTGGATTTTTGGTTTATACTCTCCCATTAGTGAGTGTGTAATAGGCATGAGCGTTATACATGGGCCTGTTCAAATCAAGGTGGGAATGAAGTCCTTATTTTCATTAAAAACTGTTTCTCTTCCACATCCCCGATGTAGGGGTCTAGTTTCCCCTCCTTACTTCTAACACTTATGAATGCAGGAGATGACAGAAGCCTCTAGAGAGGTTTGTGGTGATGTCCAGTTTAAGGAACTAATATAACTTCAAAAATAGCCCACATGGGATTTTTTTTTTAACAGAATCTTAATTGGTGCAGACCCTGGTGGGAACAGAAATAGGCTAATTAGCCAGGCCAGCTCTTAGAGGCTCTTCAAGGAACCATTCTCATGGTATAGATTAACTTTGATTTCATTAATTGCTTTAAAAATAACCAAGATACAAAGCCTGGAAATGAGTTGAATTTAGTACTCAATATTGAGGAGGGGAGCTGTAGAAAGGGACCAAAGGGCTGCTTAGTGGGAGATTTATGAGAGCAAACACCAATTCACACCTGTAAATAGGCTTTGCAGGGAACACCAGGCATTGCCATTTATCTCTAAGCTTTGAGTAATTGAATTGCCTTGCACTGAATGTTCCCTAGTGATGGACCCAGTTAAAAGTGCATGATACTTATCTGGGTTTCCATTAAGTGGCTTCTATTGCACCAACACTCCATAGCTAACCCAAGGATTGCCACATACCTTCTGAACTGCTTCTGTGATGCAATCATTTGCTTCTCCTGCATTTATCTGCGAGGTAGACTTTATCCTTCAATAAATACTAAGACAATTGGAGTTTTGTATCATGAATCCACACATGTAATTCCCATTGACAGGATTAACAAATTTATTAGAGCATAACCTTTCGTGGGCTACAATATGCACCCGAAGAAGTGGGTTGTAGCCCACGAAAGCTTATGGTCTAATAAATTTGTTAGTCTCTAAGGTGCCACAAGTACTCCTGTTCTTTTTGCGGATACAGACTAACACGGCTGCTACTCTGAAAATTGACAGGATTATTCATCCACGGCAAGCAGCAGCCACCAACATTTGGGAGCTGATCGCTCTGCTGGTTAGCAAATCAGATAGTAAATTAAATGGTTACTTAAAGTTACATTTTCCTTCCCTTGCCATCGCAGACAGCCATCTCCTTGGCAAACACAGGCAGACAATTTAGTACTGTAATATATGACTGACTATCACAGCAATCTTTGGAAAGGTGAGGATACCACTCAGAGCTGGCTGCAGCCAGGAAAAAAATACAATAGTTATCATACCAATAGCACATGTCCTAGCTAGACCACGTTCTTAACTATTTTTTTTAAGCTGATTATTCCGGTTAGTGAATTATTTCATGGGGGAACTAGGTGTTAGCAGCAGTACATACACTTTCTGGTACCTTGAGACCAAGGAAGTAGGAGCTGCAGCCATTGGGCTCTTGTGGCTTGTAGTTCGGTCTGGGCATTGGAGCCTTCCCTTGAAAGACAGAGAAATGTGAAAAGTTAGGGGTAAGAGATTGCAGGGGTGTCGAACTTAGAGGTAAGCACATGTTCTTTGCTTTTGGTTTGCCAAAGGCAAAGAAACATTGTACGACAAGGGTCTTAAATACAGCCTCCTATAGGCATCCTAGCTCCACTGAACAGACAGAGGACCATCACCCACCTAATCTCTTGCTTTAAGAAGAGAGGCATAAACTGCTCCTTTCAGATCAAGTGAAAGACAGTCCAACGCTCCCTGAGGACCTGGTTGTACCTCCCACAATCACTAATCCTTTACGAAGGGCTATGTCATTGCTGGATTCCAGTGTTTACAACCTGGTCCAGTCCTCCTCCTGGACAGTTACCAGTCTGTTGTAAATGGACCTAAACATGAATCCATGTGTCTCTAAATCAATTGGGTCTGGGCTGAGTCTAGTTACTATTCCTAGCTCTGGGTCTCCAGGTCACATTCCCAGGCTCAGGCCTCGTGCCTGAGTCCTTCTCAGGGACACAGGACTCTGCATTCCAGCTGCTTCAGACCTCCTGAGCCCCCCAATCTCTTCCACATGTTCCACCTGGGCTATATTCAAGTAGTAAAGAGAGGGGATATCCACTTCTGTGTAAATGTTGGTAATAGAGCACTCCACAATGGAGTTAAAATTTCACCTGCTGCTTATTTCTTTCATCAGAGACTGGGGACAGTGCTGGGCCCCCTAGCATTGGATACTCAAGCCCTGGGCACGTTAGATTACACTGCCCATTTTTACACAGACCCATTCAGCACTGCGCTGGAAACCATAACTTCTAGAGCTCTTAAGTGTTAAAATGGGTCCCTTGGAACAACTCTGAAAAAGAGGCAATGCCATGCAAAATGCTGCAAATCCTGCTTGCCTGCCCATCCACAGAGCCTGGCATCTGAAATTGGGGGAAACTGTCCAGAGAATTTTTACTTTTAGCCCACTTTTGCTTGAATGCCTGAGAGTATGGCTCTTCATTTTTCACCATTGACTTCCCTAAAGAAATACCTTACTATCCCTCCCAATATTTTTCAGCAAACAACCACATAACCATAACACCTACCCACCCCCCTTTTGGGTTATATGTTCCCAGTCCTCCACAATACAGCCCTCTGCTGGTGAGAAATCCGCTAAGAACCACAGCTGGCAGCCAGGAGAAGGGAGATTCCAACTGCAGAGAGCATGAAACTCTCTCATCAGCATAAGATGGATATGACCATTACCAGTAAGTCCTGACCTTCATTTCGGCAATACAGACTATTAGCAGCATTATTAGGCTGAAAAAAAGAGCAGCAGGCAGCGTTTGTAACAGTTGCCCTGGGAAGAAGAGACCAGATCTTTAATTCCTGATGTAGTTGCAGATGACTGCCCTAGGTCAAGGGATTCTGCATTTATTCTTCCTGTGAACAAATTCATTTTATCTCAGGTTTTGGATTTTCCCCCTAGCTTGCAGCTTCAAATGCCTGAACTGGGGGAGAAAGCATGGACAAATACTGTAGGCCTGCATGGATCATCAAAAACCTCCGGGCTGTGCTGCCAATATTTCAACAAGGGACTTTGCTAATTTCCCCTTTAGCCTGTGACTAATCACTTGTCCCAGGGGAACACACGCTAGCAGAGAGGAGAGTGAAGGAATCTACTTGTTTGTTTAAATGGGAAAACAAATACTTTCTCATGACTACAAACAAGGAGGGAGGTTACATCATGTAGCAAACATACATCTGCTCTTCTTGCTGGATTTGTTCCTGACAAATAAATAGAGAGAGTTATTGGTAGTACAGCAAATATCCAGTGTGAATTCTTGAATGGGAGGTATGGATGTTTTAGTGCCAAAACCTCATAGGGCACCTGTGGGTAGAGAAGGCTGGGGTGTTTTAAATAACTACCGTTTGGTCCATTCCAAAGCCAAAATTTTGCTCTTTGGAAATCTTTCTGAGTCAGTGGTTTAGGTCAGTGGTCTCCAAACATTTTTGATCGCGCACCCCTATCAGTAAAAAGATTTTGAGTACCCCCTGCCGTGCCGGCTCTACCATTTTTGCTAAAGCCGTTCGGACTTCTGCCCGAACTGCGGAAGCGAAAAAAAACTTTGGAGACCAGTGTTTTAGGTAATCCTGGCAGACAGAGGGGGAACCTGTCAGGCAAGGATCTCACTGCACTCTTTCCTTTGCAGTGGAGGCAGAATTTTTAACATGGGGCTCCTAGGGTCTCCCTCCAGCACTTCTGTGATTCATCTTCTAGAGGAGGCATAAAAGACCTTAACAAGGGAATGTCTTCTCTCCACCTCACAGGGCATCCTGAGCCTTTATCGAAGCTAACAATCGTTTACCCTTCACATAACTTAAATGTAGATCATTATTTTAACAAGAAATATGCTCCCCATGCATTTGAGCTGCTTTCTGTTCTGTGAGCACCTGATTCTCATTTCACTTACCATGGTATCTCCATTTATGTCAAAGGGTTTTCTTCTGATTCTCCTGTGTGAGGGGAATTAGGCCCATTGTTATGCAGGATCAGGTCCTAAACTGCTTTCCTATTATTTGAAACTCCTCTTGAAGTAGTTAGGACTCTTGGGTACACACACACTACGGGACTGGAACCATAAGGCTTTGTGAAACCTAATCTGAATATAACTGTCTTCTGTTCCAGTACTTTTAAACACTTGCCTGGATAGTGGCAGTTACAGCTGTCACCTGTCACACAAGAGCTCTCTTTATGGTTCATCAGACCCACAGGCTGCCACTGTCACAAAGCCCTGGCCTCAGCTTGTTGGCAGTTTGCCTGCCAGATTCTCTTCCCCCTACAGCCTTAGAGGTAAGACCTTCCTTGTGACACATCTCCTATGTTCTTCAGCATAAGTAGGGCAACTGAGTTCCCAGAGGTCTCTTGTAGTCTAAAATGTCGGTTGGTGAAAGCATCCTTGACTACATCCAAGAAGCTTTCCCCTAAATTCTGTCTCAAAGACAAACTGACTTGTACTTTTAAAAAAAAAATCAAAAGCCTAAGACACAGAAACTGTCTGGAACAGTCTGAGTGTTAAAGGTTCTTGTAATAGTGACAACAGATCTTATTTACCTTCCAGTTCTCTCGCTCCCTCCTCCCCTCATTATTACTAATCTTAGAACTAAGAACTGCTGAATAATTAAACTCTGATGGCTGCAGAGATTGCTGCAGCCTGCTTGGTCTGCAGCTTGTGTGAGTCATTTAGAAACTCCACCTACCAAGCTGATAGATTTGTACAGCTAGAGCCAGAAAGACCCCTTACTCCTTGTGACTGCAAAGGCTTGGCTGTCTAACCAAACTGGGGTGGGCGGGAAAGGAAGCTTCCTTGCGGAAGATGCTGATTCTGAAAGTTCCCTGGATTATGAGGGGCAAACCAGAGTTACATCTGTCCTACGCTGACCTGCTGTTCCTCTGACCTCAGAATGGCTGAATCTAAGCGTATAAACTTGACACGTGTTATAGAAGCAAACAGCATCACTGCGTTATACAAAGTCCTTTCTTACTTAGTGTTTTGGGCCCAAAGTGTGCTAGGGGTTGGTCCCTCATTCTGGGGTGTCTTTGTCCCCTCTGCTGAAGAGTTGTCCCCTGCTTTGGAGCCCTAGGTGACTGAGAACTGTGGTGTGTTAAGATAAGACACCAATGTTCTCTTCTCTCCCGTTATTCCCCAGTAGCAAAAAAGTCCAAAGGAGTCTTTACCCTTTAGGGAAGCCCTTAATCTTCAGTGAGGGGCAAATTGTCCCTTGGCTGTTCCAGGTAGGGGAAGCACAAGCTTCCCCACTGTGGTGTCTATATACCAGGCTTAGTTATCAACACAGGGTTGAATTCTACCCTCCCACGGTTAGTTTCTGACTTGCTAACTCAGTGTTAGACACAGCGTTCCCCTTTGTTTTAAGGAATTCTCTATCAATGTAAGTGTCATGAACAGAATCCATCATAGTTCAGGGGAAAGGCTGTAAGTTTAAAAACAAGCAAAGGGGAGTTTGAAAGGAAAAAGGTCAGGGGAAAAAAACCCACCAAAAATTCTGAGGGGGAAGCGGAGAGTTAAAGAGGCAGCACCAAAAACTCCATTAGTATCAATTTAGAAAGCTAATGGAGTGTGGACAGTGCTGGGAGAACAACATGCAGAATTCAGTCAGAAGTCCTAGAAACAGATACAAAATGTACAAGATTTGTCTCTCCAGAGGATATCTGTTGCATTTGCCCTTCCCATCTTCTGTCTCAAACCCAAAACTGATAGCCAATATCTTACCAGTAAGAACTGTTAGGCCTGAAATAGGTGTACCAATTCACAGGACAGCTGCCTGAACCCACAGGGCCCTATGGAAAGGAAAGAAGCCACTTACCATATCTACATCTGTACTGACAAACCCCATTTTTTCCTCCTAGCAGCTCTAAAAAAGAGTCAAAATAGCCATTAACGGTTTCAAAGCCATCTCTGATGGTCCCAATGCCCCAGTCTGCTGAGGCTGATTCTTCTGGGGCAGCTTGGTTGACTGAGTTGTCTGAGGTTACTTCTTCATCGCATCTTCCTAGACTCAGGGCCAGGCACAGAACCACTGTCTTGACAACCGGCTTCATCCTGCAGTCAGACCAAACAAATCCAGGCTCCCGAAACTCTAATGCACAGGCATGTAGTGAGGTGGAAATGGGGCTGGGTTGTTTCGAGTCCAGGGCATGTATACTCCCCTCTCTGATGGACTTTAAACACTGCTGTGGTAACCAAAGTGAGGTCACAGCAATTAGAGAGTGCAAAGGTCAGACAAAGTGGAGATTCGGTCCAAGTTCAGCTCATAAAACAGGAGAGTGGAGGACAGTTGTGTAATACTTTGAAATGGTTCAGGCACCTCAGCATGGGGCATTTAGCCAGTATTTGGATGGGGCAGGAGGGACTGTCCCTCTGTCAGAGCATGCGATCAGCCCATGCTTATTTTCATCAGTGGATTGGTAGCTAGTCATGAGGTCAGTGAAACACCCCTTCAGCTAGTGCATTAGACAGATGGCCACAAAACCTTTCCTGGGTTTTTGTTTTTTTAAATCTTCCCCTTTCTTTGGAATTGGGGTGGGGATTTGTGTAGCCTCCTCTAGACTTTCTATGCTAAGACAGTGGGGCAAGTGCCTGATCAACAAGTATGTCCCTGCTGGAGGTTTTTGTGGTCAGGTAGACCAGGGACTGGGCCTTCCATGAGGCCAAATTTTGCAATCAGGGCATCTTCCACAGCACCCTGGTTCTAACACTCTTGTAAAGCTACTTTACCTTAATGACCACCTACTTTCAGCATACTAATAGATGAATGACCATTCTCCTTATACTTTTGCTGGGACTCCTGCAGTGGCTGATGTAGCAGTAGTCTGACCAACTCTACACTGGGGGGGATGATTCCTGAGGATCTCTTAGGGTGTCTCACATAAAATGGTCCTGGGGCACCTGTGAATCTTTATTATAAAGATGATATAATATACTGTCAGCCTTGCTTGCTTAAATATAACAGACCATCAATAAGTGACCCATAATATACATATAACTTGTGGCACTTAAAACTGTACGTGCTAGGGGCTCCATTCCACAGCATTGTTGTTCCTCCTGGTTCTGAGATGGAGCCAGTTTAATGCATTCATCTGGCCTCCATATCAGTTTAAGCTTTTGCAGAAATTAAACTCATCTAACTCAATGCTTCTAGCCCCTCTGGTTACCAAAAAAAAAAAAACCCTCCCTAATATGACCCAGTGGAATGCTGTCTTCCTGAGTCTGCAAGCAGCCTGAAGTGTTAGTGATCCCACTAATCTCAGTGGGGTATTAAATGCCATGGGCCAGATTTTCTAACAGCTTAGCTCCCCCATAGGCACTGAAAGAAGTGGCTTCTTTACAAGCCTCACTGCTAGTTTAAATTTTCTTTATATGATATAATAGAGAACCTCAGTAACCTTTCACTATGGTCTGAGTCTACAAATCTTTCACAAATAGTCATTGCTCTCAAAAAGCAGTAGCATCAGTGGGCATTCGACTGTGAGTAAAGATCCATTGAGATAAGGGGTTGTAGGACTGGGCTATTTGTTCACTCTGTGTTTCAAGACATTCCTAAATGGCTTGAACTACTGCTGACAAATGACCATTCTCCTTGCTGTTTTGCTGTATGCTTCAGGATGTGTTATCAGTAAATGTTGATACAATGAAAACCAGGTTCAAAGTCATCACATTTCTCTTCTACTGTATAGAGCAACTCAAGTATCTGAATAATCTTTCTGCACAAAGTACTAGAATCTTTCCCTCCCCCCTCCTTGCTCACAGCCCTTCTGAAAAGTCCTATAGAATTTACTATGCATGGAACAAATAGGAATAACTCTAAAAACCTATAGAAGCACTGGATGTCTGGTGCTGTGATGTTATGCCTAATAATACGCCTTTCAAAGATAGAGCTGGAAATGACTCCACGGCATTCCTTCTAGGTACCAAACACTGGTTGGGAGGTAGGGAATGTGGGGCCGGGGGGGGGCGGGGAGAAGAAAGAGAGAATTTGCCATGGTTCACAAGCTGGCTATGGTCTATGGCCTTTGCAGTTCAGTGCAGCTGTCACTGAAACTAGCATTTAGCGTAGAGGAAAGGTGGTGAGGAAACAACGTCTAACATCCATAGTGAACTGATTCTTCAAAACAACTGCTGATGCAGATCCAGATTCTTTAGTTCTGAGCTCACTTGTATCACCACCTAATAACAGTGCCCAATGGGATTGTAGTGTACCATATCTGTGCCCTTCTCCTCCCACCTTGAGAATTCCTTCCTTCAATTCAAGAAGTTATAGCAAAGTTCTGAAACAATGGAAAAGTTGGGAAGTAGTGCAGATCCACCAAGGCAACCATCTTGAAGAACCAGTGTTGGTTGTTTACTGTACTATTATTTTTTCTTTAAGCACTGCCTGCTCCCTAAGGTGTAGATCTGATTTTAAAAAGGTAAATCCTGCTGGAATTGCTGTGAAAAGGTGCAGACTGAACTCCAGGTACAAGGGATAGCACATGGGACTCGGTCTTTTGCTTAGTTAATACAAGTATGTCAATTTGTGCACTAAAAGCAAACTGTCTACTATTCATAGCACTGGGCTTCTTGCTTGCCATAGTAAATAACTTTAATGCATCTTCCGAGTCCATGTGGAACAAATTAGATATAGTTTGTTTATTTTTATATATTTATTTATTTAATCTCAACATTTTATCTATGGATTATTTCAATTCAATGGCCACTCAAAATATTTTCAGTTTAAGAGTTGCTGCAGTCTAACTGTGAACATACTCTTTGATTTAAATTACTTTAATATACAATCCATTTTGTTAACAGGGCCCAGCAATGCTGGCAACCTAAACAATACAAAACTGTGTTAGTCAAGAGACTATGGAAATGACACCACCTAGCATATTTGTACTGTCCACACAGACTAATGCAGAAAGTAAACAAGTAAATCTAAATTTATACACCTTTCAGGGCCAGATCCACAGGTGATGTGAATTGATTTAGTTCCATTTACACTAGCTGAGGATCAGGTTCAGTTTTTATATATAGAGAACCCCTAAAACTTGACTGTTTCCATAACTGCATTCATTCCAAAGTGCAGCTGTGTTAGAAGTGTGGAATATGAGTCATTCAGTTTATCCTCACAGTGGTTAGTACAGAATTACCCAGCATTCTAATTCTCCTAGTGCAACCATCAAAACATGTTTTAAATCTTGTAATGGTAGAGTGAGCAAAAGCATGGCTAGTGAGGAGAACATAAACCACCTCAAACAAATTAAGTTACTTGACACTTTAAAAAGCTACATTCTTTTAGGGTCCAATTCTGCCCATGTAGCTTTACAACTCAACTTCAATGGTAGCTGCCTTTGTGGGCAGATCTGGATCCATAAGATTTTGGTTAGCTGATGTAAAGACTTTAAAAGTCAAGCTATGCTATCATAACATGCGACTGGGTGTACACAAAACCATTCCTGTGCATTCATTGTTCTAGTTGAGTGAAGGTTCATTTGGACTACATTTCTACAGTCCTATTATCCAGAAAGCGTGGTTTGAGAATCTAGCTTCAATGTAACAAAAAAACTAACATCTTTAGTTCTTAACAGGATTGCAGTATGCAAATTGCCTGTACAATTGGGATGAACTGAATTACCTCTGATGTCCAACTCCCTTCTTCAAGAGTAGCAGCAGGTACAATAAGGAATAGATAGTAGAAGCCACATTCTGGGACAGGTAACAGTGGACTATAATGCTTTTGATACTGTATACAATTTGGGAAGATATGGACAAGAAACTACATTTGGATCTCTTTCACAAGATATCCTTGCTCCTGAGTTGCCCAGCTGTCAGGGCCAGCTCAAGCATTTCTGCCGCCCCAAGCAAAAAAAAAACCCCCACGCTCAGCAGCAGCAGTTCAGCAGCAGGTCCTTCACTCCTAGAGGGAGTGAGGGACCTGCCGCCCCCGAATTGCCACAGGTGCCGCCCCTCTCCCTTGGCCGCCCCAAGCACCTGCTTGTTAAGCTGGCGCCTGGAGCCGGCCCTGCCAGCTGTATGTTGTGTAGTATAGCCACAGAGGGAAAAGTGACTGCAAGAATTTCATAGTGTGTAGTGAATTACTATATAAATATCATCACAGAAAGCCTTCATTAGCTCAGATAAGGCTGAAGAAAGAATGTGCAGTACAAGGGAAGTTACGCTCGGTCTGGGCAGGGAACAACTGGGGACTCTTTGTATGAAAACAAGCCAAAGTGCCAGCTTGCTGGGGAGGAAGTTAAAGGAGACAAAGGGCATGTCTACACTGTGGCATAATGTGCACTGGTGGTAGGGGAGTGGTGTGACTTGAAGTGTTCTAAAGTATGTTAATGGGTCCATGTAGATAGGGCTAGTGGGAACTCAATTAAAGCACTCTAGGGAATGTTAGTGTTCACCAGCAGCACCTGAACAGATTAATATACATGTTAGGGCACTTCAGAAATCACACCCTGTAGTGCATATTACCCCACCATGTAGACAAACCTTGAGACCCTAAAGAATCACATTTTCTGCTAGTTCATGCTGGGTTTTTCAAAACCCAAAAGGTTGTGTTGGTGTTTTTATTTTAACCTGACTGGACAATTGCCATCCCCCTCACTGCTGCCTTGGGACTGACCCTGCCTCCCAGCCTGAGTCCAGCTTTGAATTTCATGCTTGGGACCAAACGTCTAGATCCCAAACACCCTTGAAATAAGGGGTTAAAAAAAATCTTGATCTCTAAACCTAAACTGCAGTTTTGTTAATCTATCAACAGCATCTATAGCAAGTGTTCCTTAAATGAGAAGCACACAACGTGTACCTAGAAGACTATTTGATTCATGGGATTACAACATGGCATTGCTATTTCTTTAGCATCTCATCTGGAAAATGTTTGTGGTTTGTCAGAACTGTAGGATTGAGTCCATAGGAAACAGTATAGTGATAAACACCATGGACATACAAAGGTTGGGAATATACCTTTAAATGCCTGTGGCATGGGCTCTTCCTCAACTACCCCTTCATGTGAACAATCCAAAGGTTAGGGTGCCATAGGAAAGCTTCTTCTAAATATTTAAAAACAAATGTTGACAATATTTGAAAAAGGAAATTTATGGCAAGGGTTCCAACACCTTTGTCTCCTTACCCCTACCCTCAGCTTTAGGTTAGAAACCCCTTTATAGGCTAGAGATTCTTCTTGTACAGTTTCAATACAAGCTACAGGTCCACACAACATCAACTTATGTAACTTGAGATACTTGGATTCAACTCAGCTTCCATCTAGGATACAACGTTTTAACTGTTTGGAACATAAAACAAAACACCCCCAATACCAAAACAAAGGTGGTTTATCCCACCAGAAATGGTTTAGGATCCAAAGGCCTCTACATGGAGCAATAATGCAGACTACAGCGTGTAGTTTCTAAAGCACACTTAATGTGCAACACATTAATTGGTCTGTGTAGACCAAACTGGTGCATACTAAAGATCCGTATTGTAAATGTATTTTACCATAGTACTGTTTCAAAAAGAGACTTGAAAACTTGAGTTTTGGACAGCTACTTAAAAATCAAATTGCTAAAAATACCTCCTCCCCCCAAATGAAACTCAAACCTCAGAAACAGAAGCCTTAGCTGTATTTCAATAAAGAAAGCCTAAAGAGTGCAGTTAAACTAACAAGGGTATTTAATTTCCTTTGAAATGCTAAACATAAGCTGCTTACTTTTACAAGTGTTTTACATTAATGAAAGGGCTGTGTATTTGGAAACTAACAATGAATAGCAGTACCCAGAAGATCTTAAAAGGCTTATTTTCTTCCATTCTGCTTCTTTGGTCCCTTATCTTGTCTCACTTGGACACACATGATTAAACCTCATGTCTGTTGTTGTTGTGGAGAACAGTTAATACACAGTAAACCATGTTACAAGCATCTTCTAAACCAGGGGTGGGCAAACTTTGGCCTGAGGGCCACATCAGGTTTTGTAAATTGAATGGAGGGCCAGTTGGGGAGGGAGTTGTGGCCCGACCCCCACCTCCTATCTGCCTCCCATCCCTGTTCTCTGAGGGCCCCTCTGGGATCCCTGCCCCATCCACACACCCCTGCTCCCTGTCCCATGACTGCCCCCTGCCACTCCATCCAACCCCTCCTCTCATTCCTGACGCCCCCCTACCCCATCCAACCCTGTTCCCAACCCCTATCCACATCCCCAATCCCCCTTGCCCCTACTGCGCTGCCTGGAGCACCAGTGGCTGGAAGCGCTACAGCTGCACCGCTGTGGCCACGCAGCACAGTTAGGCCAGGCTCTGCGCTGCGCTGCCCCAGGAGCTCACAGCCCCAGTGCCTGGAGCACTGCACCGGGGCGAGCTGAGGCTGCGGGGGAGGGGCCGGGGGCTAGCCTGCCGGGCCAGGAGCTCAGGCAGGACGGTCCCGCGGGCCGTAGTTTGCCCACCTCTGTTCTAAACCCACTTTTTATATTCTGAAATTAATTAGGGAATAGGGCTGTTGAGTTTCTAGGAACCATATGGGAATCCATAAATCGGACAAAATGGAGAGCAACAGATCACAAGAAAAGTTTGATGTTGAGGATTTTCACTGTAAGTGGCAGTGACTTTTATTTTAAGCCTGTTCTTTACATTTAAAAAAAACTTTACAAAAAATTTAATAGTAAGGCAATTTTTCAGATGTCAGTCACTGTGAACCCGAGAGTTGTCATTCATATTTAATACTAAACTGCATTCACACAGGAGCCAAACTCTTGATCTGAAAGCCCTTTTTAGAAAGTTAATGGATAAGGCAGCAAGCAACAGTACTTTTACACAGTGTTAAATGTATGAATGCTTCAAGCAGAGGAGATGAAATATGGGTCTTCATCTACAACAATTAAAGTAAATAGTTTCTTTTCCTACTAACCAGGCTTGGAAGGATTCAGTTTTTAAATGATTTTCAACACATTTAACTAGTCTTAGATATAACTTTATCCAATGGAACATTTTCACTAGTAGGAAACAAATTTCATTTAGTGAAAATGGACAAAAGAAAAAAAACCTATCAAATGATTTTATTTCTGGATCTTAAGCATCATGCAATTGAAACAACACTACTTAGAAACTTTTCTCTAAAATTCTATGAACATTAGAAATGCTTATTGATGGGTGGGCGCAGAAGGAGAGACTATTTTCTGACCTTACCAACTGAAGTCTAATAGGCTCCAAAACATGGTTTCCCACCTCAAATCTCTTAAGGGAGGGAGTAGTATGTTTGTCTTTGCTTGAACTGAGTTGGGAGTTAGAGGTTGGTATGCGATACCCCCATCTTCTCGCTACTGCTGACTGAAAGTAAAGGGTGGGTTGGAGCATAGCATGGCTTTCTTCCAGTTTGAGCAATAGACATTTCAAGCAAGTATACAGCAGTGACTTAGCTGACCATTGATTGAGATTTCCCCTTTTAAGAAATTAAACCGAGTTTAAAAAAAGGCACTGAAATGTAAGAGAAGAGTGGGTTTTTTTCTTAGCAAAAAAACCCAGACTATTAGCTGCCACACCATTACTGGGGTGTCTCTAACTAGAGAAATTGTTTGATTACAGAGAGGGGGGTATTGGAAATGGAGGTGTTTTGCCTTTTTGTGCCTGACAACTGTCTATCAAGCTCTCTTAGCCATGTCCACTCCATTTTTCTGAAAATTGCAGGACTAAACTTCAGCCCTAGTTACCAAAAGAGAGCATATGAAAATGAGGGGATTTACATCACAATTCACAAGAGGAAAGAAGGGGGGTGGGGGGGGGGAGAAGAGATGAAAAATTTGTTAAAGGGTCAAAATTCAGAGAACAAGAACTCTGTTCTGTTGGAGCATATTTCTTTGCTAGATTTTATTTATGCCATACATTACTTGATTTAACTTTTTTATAATAATCCTTCTGAAGATATGAGTCCTCTGTAGTACCTTTAAATTGCATCCCTGTTCCCAAAGTATTTGTATAGGTTAATAGTTGGATTCTCCTACCTTTTGGGTTCAATCTTCAGGTTTTCACTCAGGTAGAAAATCCAATTATCTAAAATGGGGTTTGCCCGTACACTATTAAAAATATTCAGCATTTCATAATCCAAGATTAGACTGACAGAAGGTGGCCTGCTAGGTTCTGGTGTGGCTCACTTTTACCTTCATCTACATCCTGTGTGAATTCAGTCCAGAGTTGGTGAAAAGCCAGTCACAGTTATGGCATGTATTCAATGTACACAACATATCAAAACATACACAAAATAAAAAGCATTTTAAAAAAGAGTGAAGATTATAAATAGATTGCCTTTTTCACAAACGATTTCAGCATTGGAAAATTTGGCTTTTCACAAGTAAATCTTCGAGGCTTGTGCATTACCTCATAACCAATTTGAAATTCCAGTCTCCTAAGGCACAATGCTCTGTTTAATCAAAGATGGTACTGTCCCCATCCCACTGTCCAAGAAATGGATGTAAAGATGTATTACTATGGACACAGAAAAGCAGCTTTTTTTTAAAATGGACAAACTAAGTCATAAAACAAAACTAGACCTGGAAAGCAGGTCATTTCTGTCAGGCTGTTCTGAGGCACACAGGTATCCGACACGTACTTTATATGACTGCGGGCTCACATTCTCTGGGTTACAAGTCAAATTCACTTTAGAGGCATGAGAGAGAATTTACAAGTCCGTTAAGTCTGGGCTTGTGTAGTATTGAAAAAACAGGCTAGGATAAACACAAAGGTAACCTGTCACGCAGAGAAACACAAACCACGCCCACTGTTCAATTGTAGTGGTGAGGCAAGCTACAACAAAGAGTTGAGTTTGGGAGCTGGAGACAAGGATTGGTTTAATGCATCCCTCCAAACAACGAGTCTGTGCTTGAAATTAGATTGTTCATGTTTTTTTACCACTGGTAAACTCAAGCTTGTGAGGACTAACACAAGTCACATACTGGCTTTCTCTGCTGATCTGAAATTCTACAGAGTAAAGGGTACTATAAATCACAAATTATCCCTGTTATTTCTGACAACTATATTTTGTCCTTCTAGCCTGAAAAATCTCAATATATTCTCTCTATATAAAACTAACAGGGATATTGTAGAGTGAACTAAAACAATGTAGGTGTTTCTTCACAGACAATACTGGATGTGGTTGGAGACTGTATCTGTAGTGGAGTGTTAGTAAATTGTAAAAACTGTAGAAAGTTAAATGGGGGAGACATATTTTACACAAACTCGAGTATAGGATAGGGAAAAGTCTGCATCATTCCAACTCTGATAAAGTGCACGGTCTTCGGAATTCCTGACCTCGTTCATGGATCCATTTATTGGATACTATGAGAGACAAAAATAGTATTGGTCACTACTTCTATTTAAACTAAATACACGTTATCAGCACATGCATCAGAAAAGCTTTATTCCCCAAATATAAATGTCAAAGCAATAGCCTGAAACTTGACGTACTAAGCCTAAGAAGAAAACCCCACAATATTTGCAAATTGGGAAAATCTTAGTATGAAGTAGCTAGGTATGTACTAGCTCACTTCTTTTGAAAAGAGCTGGTGGTTGTACTGTATCCTACCACAAGCAGTGAAGTAAAAAAAAAATTAAAATCAGACGTTTGGCAGAGTAGGGATACTTACCCCACTTGTTTCCAACTAGTACTGGGCAGGCTGCATGCCTTGTGCTGTAATCTCCTTCTCCACTTGGAAAAAGATTGTACCAGAATACAGCTGTTCCCTGGAAATTTCAATACAAACATAACATTTTATTCTATGCAACACAAAGTTTACTTCTACCAGGGTTAATGATCAATGACTTTAAAATATGATGCATTTAAATAGGTTAATTTTTAAATGAACATATTTAAAATTAAACTTGGCAACCTGTTAAAGCCTAAACTTAACATTATTTGTATTCAATTTAAATGAAAGTGTTTTCTGCCAAGTTCTAAAGAAAAAAGCTGCAGGAAGTCACTGGCTAAGCACCTGGAACCTGCGTTTGCTGCAGTGCTACACCAGCTTTTCAACTAGTTCATTCAAAGTTAAGAAGCTGATTGGAAGAGAGAGAGAAGCTTTTTGCTTTTTCAATTCCCAATCTATGAATAAAAACTTGTCTACAGTGTGGAATAATCCACATTATGGGAAGGTGTGATTCCTAAAGTGCTGTTTGTTAAAGTGCACTAGGGAACCTTTAGTATGCACCCCAGTGTCTATATGTACCAATTAATGTGCAACACTGCAGCTGGGGGGGGAGATTTCTAAAGCAGAGTAACAAAGTGCAAATTACACCACCACGTAGGCAATCCCTAGGTGTGAACGGATGAGATCTATTAAAACCATGAAGGGCATGGTGACAAACTATCAGTTCAAATTCACTAACCATAGATCCATCCTTTGTTTTAATAAATCCAAAACATTTGACTCTTTCATGTGTCCAGAATGCAAGGTTTATTTAAATGGCAACAATCTTTGTTACTGCAGAGTTAAGATTTCCAGTGACACCTCATGTCCTTCCAGAAGTTTAGGTTAAGCAAGACTCAGACTTCAGAATACTAGGAAACGCAGCGTTAAGGTAAACCGCCCACATAACCTTAACATTGCCCTCTTTGAGCAATGCCCCATAACCCACATACTCTGCCTTTTCACTGTAAATTAAAGGAGCGTCCTGTACTTGCCCTACACTCAGTCTACTCTCCTGACAGCACACCACACTTGTAAAATTTAACAGCTGCTTCACACTAACTCACAGGATATCACCTAAACCTATACTTTCCCTTACCCATCTACAAACTGTTCTCATATCCCACCTTGCTATTGACAATTCATGTGGCAAGACCCTCCTCTTCCCCTCCTGAAACTTGCTCCTGAGAGGAACCTACACAATTTTGTAATAAAATGATCCACAGTGGCTCCTCACAGTACACATGCTGTTTGTTTTCCCTTCCTCGGACATAGGAGGTGGGGTGCAAATCCTGAACTTCTCATATACTCAGAGTTCTGTGACACTTCTCAAACTCATTCTTCTCAGCTCACAAACAAATCTCTACCCCCTGCTGCCTCCGCCATTAAAACCATTTAGTACAGTTAAAACACACACGGTTGAATGCAGCTGCAGTGCATGTGGATAATTCCCAGTGGCTACTGTCAGCTTCAGGGGAGCAGAGGTAAGGTTATATGGGCATTTACCTTAACTCTGTATTTCCTGAAGTTTGAGTTTTGCTGAACTTGATGTTCTGGAAAGGCACTAACTGTCACCAGGAAACCAGAACTGTGTTAATTTTTTTTGTCATTTGATTTCCTAGTTATTTTGGGGGGGGGGGGGGGGGGGGGGGAGGGGGGGGGGGGGGGTTGGTTTCTTTTAAACAAAGAAAACTTGTTGGTAGGAGTGAGTGGTCATTGTGGCAACTGAACATTAGAATGCAAGCCAAGTGGCCTATCAATCCTGGTCATATCTTTCCCCCCTACTTCCCGGCTCAGCTTCACTAAACAGCCCTATCCCTCCCAGCTGGCCCCCACCACACCATTTTGTCCAGGCTTGGAAGGGCATGACCCGGTGTGTGGTAGTATAGCCAGGTTGCCAAGTGGCCCTGGCCTTGGAATCCAGCTCTCTCCCTACAGATGATCAGAGAACCCAAAAAGATCTTTTTAAGAGCCACCACCATTTTCTAAAAAGGAGTTTTATTCTGTGCACTGCTTGGCTAGTCTGGGTTTCCCCTCCAAATAGAGTCTGACCCAAATTACAAGTAAGGTAAGTTTTATGTTTTGGACCTATTGGCTTCAGTAGTCTATGATTCAATACAGGTTAAAACTTCATAATCATGCAGAACAGCAAAAACTGAAACACTGCACAAGCACAGCTAGATTTGACCTGAAAATGTGTGTAATTTTACTTGCATAGGTAGCGCCACTGAAATAAGTGGTACTGCTTAAGTGTTTGCAGGATTGGTGCCCTAGTACTTTCTTCAATCAATTAATTTTGAAGTTTTCATTTTACATTTAAACACCCAAATATACAGTTCCTCATAGCTGGATGTTAACGGAGGAAAAGTGGGAGAGTAACATCTAAGATGCATTAAAACTCATAAAAAGAACAGGAGTACTTGTGGTACCTTAGAGACTAACAAATTTATTAGAGCATAAGCTTTCGTGGGCTACTGTACAGCACTCCTGTTCTTTTTGCGGATACAGACTAACACGGCTGCTAGTCTGAAACCGGTCATTAAAACTCATCTTACCTTTTTAGGCCAAACACTAGCTCCTACTTCAGGGAATACAGTAGCTCCCCCTGCTGATACATCACTCATCTGTAAAGGAGAGAAAATAAGAGCAGCTTTTACCCAGTGCTTTCCAAAAAACATCAATAAAATATTAAGTTACTGAAAACCTTCATTTCTGACTCCACATTAAGAGCACAATTTCTGTGACTAGCTGTAAAATTGCATTTGCTATGGCCCTGTAGCATGAAACAGAAAATGTGGTAGTCATTCTTGTTCCAGAATTTGTAAGGCTTTCAGATGCCTTGATGACGAGCAGAGTACAAATACCGCGGCACCTAGAAAAATGGAGTTCACTTATCTGTAGCTAGAGGTTCTTTGACATGTGTGGTCCCTATCTGTATTCCACACATGGATATGCATGTACTCCATTCACCTAGACTGGAAATTTCTTAGCAAGTAATGTCCATTGTTCTGCACCTGCACACTTGTTCTCCTCATGCTCCAAACCGAGGATATGAAGGGCAGTGCAAACCAACACGTTTCCAGTTCTTCTTCTTCTTACTGTGAATCAAGAAAGATCGGAAACAGAGGGGAAGGAGGGCAGGTAGAATACAAATAGGGGACTCCACACTTCAAAGAGCCTCCAGGTTACAGATAAGTAACCTTCATTTCTTCTTCAAGTACTGGTCCCTGTGTGTATTCCACATGTGGATGATTGGTAAGCAGTATTCAAACAGAGGGAGGGTGCAAAAATGCAGTTTGTATAGATGTCTGTAAAACTGCTGTCCCAACAGCTGCATCTGCAAAAGAGGCCTACATTAAGGCATAATGTTTCATGAAGGTATGGATGGCACTCCAGGGTAGCTGCTCTACAAATGTGTAGTATAGTAAAAGATGCTGTTGAGGTTGCTTGTGGTCTAGTGGAATAGGCTTTCACCCATCTGAAGGAGGAATATGCACCAGCTGTGAGAGAGTGAGCAGATAATGCTTTTCCTTGCAATCACTCTATTGCAACAAATAATCTTGATGACTTCCTAATTGGTTTTGTTCTTTGCATATAGAATGCCAAAGCCCATCTGATGTCATGAGAGTGAAGTCTCCTCTCATTGGAATTATGAAGTTGTGGGCAAGGCAACCACCAAAAGTCTGTGTAGCTCTAGTGATGCCATGCCATTCCTTGCTAACACCAGAATGCCCCACCAAAGAAACCCCTGGGTGGTGGAGTGGGAGAGAGCAGCAACAGTTGAGGCGGAGGAAGCAGTATATCCGCTCTAGCGTTGGATGGCAGCTTGTAAAAGTTCTGGTGGTAAAATGGCTGAGAGGCATGTCCAGGTTTATAACCCTGCTTGTGGTGTTTTCTCTTTGGGGCTGGGATATAAATGCTCAGGGAGTGGAGAATTGTCCGGAGTCCTTACACAAGTGCAATGACTCATCAGCTTTCCTGTTGAAGGGTTAAACTGCAAGGAAAAATCCTCAGTGATATTCTGGACCTCCCTGGGGAACCCTGAAGAGTGAAGGCATGATTCAAGTATCATAACTATAGCTATAGCAACAGCTCTAAACATGGGATCATCCCCTTCCACTGCTGCTTAGAATGAGGTCTCAGGCACCCGTTTGATTTCCTTAGTGAGGTCTTGGAATTGAGTCCTGTCCTCCTGAGGAAGCAGGACATGGTAGTTAGCAAATTCTGACTTGGAGGTTGGTTGATGAAAATCCTTTCCAGAAGGTCAAGGCATTTAGAGCCTTTATCTGTTAGAGCTGCCCTGGGGTGTTGCAATCTTAATCTCACTGTGGGTGCCTGCACCACTAGGGAATTACCCTCTGGGTGGGTAAAGAGGAATTCTGCTCTTTTAGCCTCCCTGGGATGGGGGCACAGGGGTATGCCACAATGCCCTAGCAGGTTCCAAAATGGCCTTGTTCATTGGGAGGGCCACCAGAGAAAGGCCCATGGGTTGTAAGATGTCAAGGAGTTTAGGATGTGTGTCATGGACCTCGTCAAGAGAGAGCTGGAGCTCAGTCACCATCCCCTGCAAAAACACCTGATATTGGCTGTGGCCATCAATTGATATGGCAATAATGGAGCGACTGCCTCATTGGGTGAGGAGGATGACATGCCTTTTGGGACCATCAGTACCAAACCTCTACTTTGATTTCTTCCTCTGTGTACTCAGTCAGTTGGTATCAGTTAGGAGAGTAGTGCTGGTAGGTTTTTGTGCACAGATCTGGGCTGTTTGGCATATGGATCCTGTGGGGTCAATATCCCACTAATGCAGTTCTGTGGGCAGTTGTATCTTGAAGGAGGACTGCTCCAAGACCTCAGAGGTTCTATTAGGTTAGCCTCCCTAGGAGGAGATGGACTCAATGGATGAGAAAGTAGGTTCACCATCTACTGGCAGTCTACTGGTAGAAAAATGTTCCAGCTTATGGAAAGGGTATGGGAAAAATCTCGGGGTGGTTTCTTCCGACGTTGAAATGTCGGAGAAGGACCAGGCCTGACAGGAAAGGAGGTTGTGGGTAGGGCAAGGCACAACCATCCTCTGGCAAGGTAAAAGTTTCAGTCCACGCTGGAGTTCTGGAGGTTGGGACTGATGCACCTGAGGGCATGGTGGTTGGCTAATCCCTGCTGGAATGTCAGTGCTGTTGAAGGGGAGTCCAAAGTCAAGTTCCCAGTCCGTCCTGGTAGATGCTGATCATTTGTCCTATGAGCTGGAGCTAGAACTAGGACTGATCCTTCTTCCTTCACAACTTCCCCTCTTGGATGGAAAATTTAGGTGGATGGATCTAACTCCCAGGACCTGTAGGCAAGGACTTACCTGACTTCGACCTAGTTGGAGAGGGTTACTTTCATTTGATGGCAGATCTAGAAGGGGATCTCTTATGCCCATAAGAATGCCCCTTACTCTGGTAAGAGGCCTGAGGCAGTGGTTTTTTGGGTTTACTGCTGTTATAGCCTCTGCTCTAGAACTTGTGCTCATAGGGTCATTGCCTGCAGTCTGAGGCCACCGGGGGGAGGGGGGGGGGGCGCGCTGGATGTGACTGGGATCTTATGGCCTTCTCCATGTGGTTTTTCCTCAGATGGTGCTCTCGTGCCTCAGGTTCATGACAAATGCTGCACTTGGTGATTGTGAACCTCTAAAGGCAACACTGGTGTTCATCACTGACTGAGAAGGAGCTGGGATAGGAGACAGTTCTTAAATCCCAAGACTGAGTATAATCCTTCTCTGCAGGGAGAAGCTCCACAAGGCAGGAAGAAACTAAGCTATGCTAACTAGACTATAAACTCTAAGAATACTTAAACTATGTACAAATATATATTATATATTTACAGATTCTGCAGAGATTTCCGACTCAGGCCAAGTGCTGGGTAAGAGGGAGCTGGTGGCTGATCTGCACCACCCCTTATCCTCAGTTTGGAGCACAAGGAGAAGCCTGGACCAATGGACACAACTTCCTAGAAATTTCCACTCTCCGGTGCATGGGGTGTACGTGTGCCTGTTGGGACCTCTTGTTGTCAACTGGCAGAGGGCACGGGGGTGCATAGGGATCCCCTGGGTCAAATAGATGCATAATAATTCACAAAAACGTCATACGGTCTCTACTGAGAGCCAGTAGCCCACTGGTCATCAATCACTGCAAAATGTATGTATAGGTAATATTTAAGAATTTATGTATCCATACTGAAAATTATGTTTCAATTATGTTCTTAAGGTACAAGAATTTGGGTTCTTAACTTAGGGCACCAGGAGACAACACATCTTGCACAGGTTCCTTTCCGGCAGGAGGTAAGAGACACTTATCTCCCTGTCTGGTCATGCATATTGTGTATTGTCTGCCTCACATTGGAGGCTCATATACAGACTGAGCCAGGTGCCAGTTGAACAGTTACACAATCTATGGGAGAAAATCAGTAAGAAAAAACAAATCAGCAGGGTCTATGAGTGTGTCCTGTTTATGAATGAAGACTAAGGATGGGATTTGTATATCTGGGGAGGAAAAGAAACACTGAGTCCTTCACCTAGGAGAAAATCTGACAGCATGTCTCTCTCATGAAAGCAGGATTACAGCCAAGAATGGCTGTAAAACACTGCAAGGACTTTTGGTGAGCATTACTCTGCAAGATGTGAGTATTTAATTAAGTCTAGGTTGTAGAATGCATGTTATGATTTTATTTTATATATAAGCCTTTTGCTTCGAGTAGTACTACTTGCTATTTCTTGAATCTCTATGCTTTGTTAAATAAATATGTTTATAGTGAAATCAAGTATGTTTAAGTGCTGTGTGAAGCGCAAAGGTGATGTGAGGTGGAATGGGTAAGCTAGGATGTACTATTTCTTTTGGTGTCAAGTATCAGAGGGGTAGCTGTGTTAGTCTGGATCTGTATCTAACCTTGTTATTTCTAGACTGATTCTTGCCTGCATATTTATACCTGCCTCTGGAAATTTCCACCACATGCGTCTGACGAAGTGGGTATTCACCCACGAAAGCTTATGCTCCAATACGTCTGTTAGTCTGTAAGGTGCCACAGGACTCTTTGTCTATTTCTTTTGGTGCACCAAATCTGTAAATAGTAAGCGTCCAGCGGAATAGGGAGTGAACACTCCAGGGAGATGCTTGGAAGGCTTGAGGGTTGGAGTGTGCTTACTGCTAACATATAGAGTAACAGTTGAACCAGCAAAGCCTAGATCAGGGGTCGGCAACCTTTCAGAAGTGGTGTGCCAAGTGTTCATTTATTCACTTTAATTTAAGGTTTCGCATGCCGGTAATACATTTTAACGTTTTTTAGAAGGTCTCTCTCTATAAAAGTCTATATATAATATAACTAAACTACTGTTGTATGTCAAGTCTGGGGTTCCGTCCGCTGGCTTCTGCCAGCCAGGGTCCTGGCTGCCGGCCCCGCTCAGCCCGCTGCCGGTCTGGGGTTCCGTCCGCTGGCTCCTGCCAGCCAGGGTCCCGGCTGCCGGCCCCGCTCAGCCCGCTGCCGGTCTGGGGTTCCGTCCACTGGCTCCTGCCAGCCAGGGTCCCGGCTGCCGGCCCAGCTCAGCCTGCTGCTGGTCTGGGGTCCCAGCCGCTGGCCCGGGGTCCCAGCCGCTGGCCCCTTGCCAGCTGGGGTCCCAGCCGCCGGCCCCGTTCAGCCTGCTGCCAACCTGGTGCTCAGGGTGGGGGGTGGGGACGTGGGGGGGCTGGGTATGTGTGGGGAGTGCAGGAGTCAGGGATGGGGTCGTGCGGGGATGCAGGGAGCTGGGGTGCAAGGGGGTGCAGGAGTCAGGGCATGGGGTGCGAGGGGGCTGGGTATGTGTGGAGGGTGCAGGAATCAGGGAGGGGGTTGTGGGGGGAATGCAGGGGGCTGGGGTGCAAGGGGGATGCAGGGGTCAGGGCAGAGGGCTGGGATCAGGGGGGTGCTCCCAGCTCCCTGCCCCCTGAGCGGCTCACGGCAGGGGGCTGGAGGGATACACCACCCTTCCCCCTGCCTCTTCTCTGCCTCCTTACCAGTCTGAGCAGCGAGGGCGCTGGGGCTGCTCTTCTCCCCTCCCTCGCAAGGGCCATCGGCGGCAGGGAGGGAGAGGAGGCAGGGCTCGACGCAGCACACTGGGGCAAGAGGTGGGGGAAGGGGAAGCTTGACTGCCGGCGGAGCCTGCCGTACAGCAGCAGCCGGCAGGACCAAGCTTGCTTCTGCCCCCTGCCCCCGCCAGAGAGAGTGATAGGCGGGGGGCGGAGAAGAGTGGGCTGGGTCGGGCAGGATTTTTAATGGCATGCTGCTGCCTGCCGGGGTCCGGCTCAGCCCGCTGCCGGGGTTCCGCAGCATGCTGAGCGGGACCCTGGCAGGCAGCAGCGTGCCATTAAAAATCAGCTTGTGTGCCATCTTTGGCACGCGTGCCATAGGTTGCCAACCCCTGGCCTAGATGGAAGTGCTTATGTTGCTCTGGTTCGGGAGTTGCAGAGCTGACTACTGCTACATACAGACAAGTCTTCCTTACATGAAGGGCAGGTGGTAGTGAAGTGCCTCACAACCTTGGGTATCCGCAGGAAGTGTCATACCTGTTGACTACCTTTTCGATTATTTAAAAAAAAAAAAAAAAAAAAAACACACACCTCAAGCACCTAAAGAAAAGAACTTTGAGGCTGTAAGTTTACTGAATTTGTTTTTTTTAAAAGTTGGTCCAATTTTAAAAGGTACTCTAATTTACCACTGAGCAATTATTAGCTGCCTTTATTTGCAGATTACATGAATCAGAATCACTGAAATCACTCAAGTGCCTAAGCTAAATATGCAGAAATAGAAACTAACTGTTTTTTGGCAGAAACAGTTTGTAATGACATGGCTAAAAATGTCTCACTTACATAAAACAACCAAGTAGCAATTCTGTTGCCTGTTCCCAATTCTTTAAAAGCATCTGGCTCATCTTTCTGTGAAAGAAAGCAAAACACTGATTTAATAAAATGCTCATTTTGATCATGTAATTTGCACACCAGTGGATAGACAGCTGCAGTGCCAGCAAACAAACTCATGCAGAAAAATATCAAATATAGCTCAGGACACAGAGGGTGAGGAAAATGTATGTATTGGTTTATTTGTTAAATATTTTTCCTTTGCTAAAGCTACTGAAATTAAAAGGTTGCAGCCCACGTGACAAGTTGAAAATGCCCCTTTGTCTTAAAATTAATATATAAATCCCTTCATAATCTAGGCCTTAAGTACTTGTCTACTTGTAACTGACAAGCATGAGTTTACACAAGGGAAATCTGCTCTTCACTACCTCAGTTGAGTGAGAAGCAGGCTGAGGTCAGGACTTTCTTGTGGTTGTACCTTGTTGGCTGCCTTTAATACATGCTGCAACCTTACTTTTTTATTTTAGCTCCCCCCCCCCCCCCCCCTTGATTTTTAGCCTTCTCCCTTTTTCCATCTGCTTTTCCCTTTTCTGCCCCCATTCTTTGTACTAGTGCACAAGTGAGCCTTTGACAGGGACTACACCTGCTAGTTACTGTATTTGCCCTTGTGCCATGATGTTGCTGCCTGTGCTATTTGGCTTTCTTGACTTTCACATTTTATACAGCTTAGATACTGAATTATCCAATTCTTAGTATTACAGCTGCAATGTCTCAGAAGCAGGATATCTGGCTCTAATTGCTGAAGCTGCTGATAAAATATGACCATGCATTAATGCATAAAATGGGTATTCTGAGATGTATTATACAAAGATCCAAGCCTCTGTGTGTATGGAGGCAGGTGTGCACTCTCTAAAATACCCCAGGAGCAGCAATTCTCCCACTATACAAGGAGAACTGGAGATGGCTCCCTTTGGAGCAAGTCATCATTATTCTTTTATTACAGCTAGAGAATGGCAAGAATAGATACCTCAGCAAGAGCCAGGCTTGCTGCAGGACCTTTAGACTACCCCAGTTAGAACCGATTCTAACTAGGGCTGTCAATTAATCGCAAATTAATTGTGATTAATTGCACTGTTAAACAACAACCAATTGAAATGTATTACATATTTTGGACGTTTTTCTTCATTTTCAAATATATCAATTTCAATTATAACAGAATAAAGTGTTCAGTGCTCACTTATTACAAATATTTGCACTGTAAAAACAAAATAAATACTATTTTTCAATTCACCACATACAAGTATTGTAGTGTAATCTCTTTATCATAAAAGTGCAACTTACAAATGTAGATGTGTGTTACATAACTGCACTCAAACAAAACAATGTAAAATTTTAGAGCCTACAAGTCCACTCAGTCCTACTTCTTGTTCAGCCAATCATTAAGAGAAACAAATTTGTTTACATTTACAGGAGATAATGCTGTCCACTTCTTAATTACAATGTCACCTGAAAGCGAGAACAGGCGTTCACATGGCACTGTTGTAGCTGATGTTGCAAGATATTTATGTGCCAGATGCGCTAAAGATTTATGCCTTTTTATGCTTCAGCCACTGTTCCAGAGGACATGCTTCCATGCCGATGATGCTCGTTAAAAAAATAATGCATTAATCAAATTTGTGACTGAACTCTTCAGGGGAAAGAATTGTATGTCTCCTCCTCTGCTTTATTCTGCCATATATTTCATGTTATAGCAGTCTCGGAGGATGACCCAACACATGTTCGTTTTAAGAACACTTTCACTGCAAAACTGGCACAATGCTAAGAAGCTATCAATATGAAATTTCTAAAGATAGCTACAGCACTCGACCCAAGATTTAAGAATCTGAAGTGCCTTCCAAAATCTGAGAGGGATGAGGTATGGAGCATGCTTTCAGAAGTCTTAAAAGAGCAACACTCTGATGCAGAAACTACAGAACCCGAACCATCAAAAAAAGAAAATCACTCTTCTGCTAGTGGCATCTGACTCAGATGAAGAAAATGAACATGCATTGGTCCGTATTGCTTTTGACTGTTATCAAGAAGAACCTGTCATCAGCATGGATGCATGTCCTCTGGAATGGTGGTTGAAGCATCAAGGGACTTATGAATCTTTATCGCATCTGGCATTTAAATATCTTGCAACACCGGCTACAATAGTACCATGTGAACGCCTGTTCTCACTTTCAGGGACACTAAACAAGAAGCAGGCATTATCTTCTGCAAATGTGAACAAAAAGTAGGATAGAGTGGATTTGTAGGCACTACTTTTTTTTATTTTGAACGCAAGTTTTTTTGTACATAATTCTACATTTGTATGTTCAACTTTCATGATAGATTGCTCTACAGTACTTGTATTAAGTGAATTAAAAATAGTATTTTTTTTACATTGCAAATATTTGTAATAAAAATATAACGTGAGCACTGTATACTCTGTATTCTGTTATAACTGAAATCAATATTTGAAAATGTAGAAAACATCCAAAAACATTTAAATAAATGGTATTATATTGTTTAACAGCAGAATTAATTGCGTGATTAATCACGATTTTTTTAATTGCTTGACAGCCCAAATTTTAACTCAATTACTGAAGTTCAGCCAATCAAGAAGCCATGCCCACACTACTAATTTAATACGGAGTTAGCTAGAAACCAACTTAAAAAAAAATGACTTCCTCCCTTCATATGCCACAATGGCACTGCTATACCAAAGAGCTGCCTTACAGAACATTTTTAAAACTGTCCATATGTATCCCCTGAAGCACAAGAGAAACCATTCACATTGTGGGGCAGGAAACTATTTCTTTCTAGTTGAGACTAATTACTGTTACATATTCATCTGTGGGAAGTCTCCAATGCATTCCCCCCCCCCCCCCCCCAATAACATTGTATATTTTTGTGCACTGATGTTCATTCTTTTTAGAAGCCATTATTTTAGAAATTAATTCATGCATTTGAAAACAAACTGTTAATGATTTTCAATGACTTTGACAGGACTTTTCATATTTGTTGGTTTTGGTTCACAGGACAATGTTAATCTAAAAGTGTTAATCACACATAAAATGCCCATTAAACAACCACCTGAAATGGCATTATTTCCAATCATGTGAAATTCAGTTGGGATAGGGAGAGGTGAGGAAATTCAAATTGTTTATCAAATAAGCAAATAAACAAAAGCAGAGCTTGGGAGGGGCGGGAACATAAGGCTTTTGTCATCTCTTAATTTCTTTCTTTGGACAATTAATTTTTTTACTCAATTTATAAACCAGAAAAAGCAGCGGATTGATTTATGAGAATTTAGTGCTAGTGAAAGGTGCCAAAACTCACAGCTCTGGGAAATTAAATTCTCTCTCCACATTGAAGGTATAGCATAGGCAATAGCAATGCATACTTCACCACAGTGTCCAGACAATCCTGACCTGCAGGGACTCTCTCTAGAAAAGGGAAAATAATTAAGTCTCCAGGCCAATTCAGTTCCTGGCCTCTCTGAAGAGACTACCTAGGGGGGTGCAAATTGTGGTAATTTGTGTGAGTGGAAACCCTGTTGATTGAGGCCACTACATTATTTTCCATATGCCACCAAAACAGACATCAGATAGTAATAACTGATTCATTGCAGACTTTGGTTGGACTTGCACCAGTGACTAAAAATTATTACATTGACTGTTTATTATTACAGTTTGCTGAGCCAGTCATACCTTATCCATCTCCCAAATGAAGTTAATACCTTCAGTCTGAAAGAATTAGTCACCTCCCTCAATAAAAGACTGTTTTACAGTTTGAAAGGAGATCTTACTGCTTTATAATGCCTGTTCAGTTGGTGGTTTAGAGGGCTTTATCCATTAATGTGGATTAGAAGAGTTGATAGGCTATGAAATTTAACACAAATTAAAGAAAATATATTGTGCCACAGTCAACAGGCCTAGACTTCAGTAGGTCATTTTCACCCCTCCACCTCTTTACTTGCCCGTGCAAAGTCAAAGTGGGGTTCATACTGTCCTCCCACTCCATAATTTGCCACCTGAAAAAGAGAAACACAGTGCATGTGAAGTAGAAAGCCACGAAGACAGAAAAGTAGAGGAACTTACCCTTCCAAAATCAAAATGAGGCTCGTACTGGCCTCCTACGCCGTAGTTGGCTACCTATAGTGAAAGGAGAAGCACAAATATCTAATAAAGCAGTATATTATCTGGAGGAGAGCGAATGAATATTTGACTCCAGCCTGTACACCTAAAACTTTCATCTACAAAAAATTCAAAGTCAGAGAAAATAAGTCCCTCCCCTGTAGGACATACTGTCAAATAACAAAGGGTTAAATCCTATTAAACCTACTCATGAATAGTTCCATTGATTTCAATCAGACTACTCATGAGAATACAAGCAGGAGTTTACCTCTGAGTTTTGAGTCTCGGGATCATTTCTACAGCTATCTACAGACTCTCTCATGATAGCATTTCAAACCCTAGAGTAGGGGTTCTCAAGTTTTTTGGTGGCCCCGGAGTGCAGCCACCAACTATTTTTCCTAAAATACTGAATTAACTTTAGGAAAAAAAAAATCATATATACATCTCCAAATTGTTGTAATTTATTTATGTAGGGGTGGGTTTTTTTTTCGAAGACTCAGTAATAAAAATAATATACACTTGTCTCTATTCTTTACTGGACCTAAACAGAATAGAAACACAAATAAGGTGCTTTGCACGTTCTTGTATTTTTTGGGTAGTTTTTTCCTTTTAAAAAGACTTGCTTGCTAGTAAGTCTACTGCTGTGAAAAGTGGTATTTGTATGTTAATATCACTTTTCACAGCCTCCCAGCTAGCTACTCAGTCTGCTGTGAAAGGTGACATTAACAAACACACAAATATCACCTTTCATAGCAGACTTACTCAGCCCCAGGAAGCCTGGGGACAAATTAAGCCCTGGATGGGGAGCCAGGGGTTATTGGGGGGTGAGCCCTGGGTAGATACCTGCCGCTGCACGGCCAGGGTTGGATCCCTGGGGTCCAAGCCCCAATCCCACAGCTAGGGGATGAAGCCCACTGCTGGGAGGCTGGAGAAGGCAGCGGGGGCCAGGAACGCTAAGTGGTGAGCCTGCCACCACAAGCCCAAAGCCCAGGGCTGGAAGAGGCAGCAGAGGCAATGGGGGGAGGGGAGAAGAGCCACAAGAAAAGCCCCTGGTGGCCTCATGCAGCCACAGTGGCTACATTTGAGAAAACGCTGCCCTAGAAAGAGGCAGCCAAACATCTTCATTTTCTGTTACCCTGAATTAACTTTCCTGCACTCTTCTCCCACCCTAAGTCATATAGACACTTTATATTTTATACACAGACAGAATGTACATTAAGAAAGTCTGTTAACTTGTGCAGTCCTTCTCTAAAATCCTGAAGGTGGTCAGGTCAAGTACAAATTTTTTAAGGATGCTGAGCATCTTCAGCTATCAGACTCCTGTGAGTTGGGATGCTTGGCAGCTTAGAAAAATCAGGCAATTAATCCTTCATGCAGTGTTAGATTAGCTCAGCAGCGGCAGAAGTAAATCCAAGACTATTTATGAGTTAGGATTTCACAATTCCTGCGGCAGAGTCTGTTCTTGAAGTGAGAGCTCTAATATTTCACTCCACCACTATTACTTTACTGATCAGCACAGCTGGAGCCATCATGCCTTCAAATAGTTCTCCATTGCACAGAGTATCAACAAAGATAGTTACTTTTTTGATACTACCACTCTTAGTTTCTGCAACTCTGTTTGGAGAAATGTATCATCTGTCCCTGCTTGTTTCTAGTCTATCAGTCGTTTTGAGTAATGTTCCCCTCCTGTAATGGTTGTCTGTTTTATACCAAGAAGTCCTTTATCCAAGTCATAGATAAAATAGTAATTAGCTTCTATAAACTTTAAAGACTTACAAAATTGTTCTTAAAGCATCCTTGTGTGTCACTCCAAATCACTTTCCCATCCTTTAACAGGAACTCTCTCCCTCCATTCAAAACTAAGCTCAGTTTTGGATATTAGTCATCAGCCTGATCACATTTTTTCTTTTGTCAACCATATTGCTGACTTCCATCTGCCACTTTCTCCTACACGACACTCTAAAGCAGGGGTGGGCAAACTTTTTGGCCTGAGGGTCACATCTGGGTATGGAAATTGTATGGTGGGCCATGAATGCTCACAAAATTGGGGTTGGGGTGCAGGCTCTGGGGTGGGGCTGGGAAGGAGGGATTTGGGGTGTAGGAGGATGCTCCAGGTTGGGACCGAGGGATGTGGACGATGGGGGTGGGATAGGGGGAGGGGGCCCCTCTGGGGTGGGGCCAGAAATGAGGAATTCAGGGTGCAGGTGGTGACTCTGGGCGGGGGGGGGAGGGCTTTGGCTGGGGGTGCAGGGTCTGGGATGGGGGTCCCGGAGGGTGCTCTGGGCAGGGACTGAAGGGGTTTAGAAGATGGGAGGGGGAATCAGGGCTGGGGCAGAAGATTGGGGCACAGGAGGGGGTTAGGGGTGCAGGCAGCACTTACCTCAAGCAGCTCCCAAAAGCAGCCTCACGTCCCCACTCTGGGTCCTACCCAGAGGCGTAGACAGGTGGCTCTGTGTGCTGCCCCGTCCGGAGGCGCTGCCCCTGCAGCGCCCATGGGCCACAGTCCAGCGCATAGAGCCCCCTGGCTGCCCCTAAACATAGGAGTCTGAGGGGGGGGGGACATGTCGCTGCTTCGGGTAGCTGCGGCACACACGCGCAGAGCGACCCCCAACCCCACTCCCCTGCTGGAGTGTGGGAGCAGGGCAAGCCCCAGACCCTGCTCCCCAGCGGGAGCTTGAGGGCCGGATTAAATCAGCTGGCAGGCCGGATGTGGCCTGCGGGCCGTAGTTTGCCCACCCCTGCTCTAAAGAGCCCTCTATTCTGAGCTGGATGCCTGGGCATTTTATCCTCATGTGAACTTTGTTTAGTGTGGCAAGCCTGGTTTCATGATCAGCAGTCACACTTTCTGTGTCTTAATCATAGACTTGTAGGACTGGACGGGACCTCGAGCGGTCTTCTAGTCCAGTCCCCTGCACTTAAGGAAGGACTAAGTATTATCTAGATCATCCCTGATAGGTGTTTGGAAATTTTTAAGAGCAGGTTAGACAGTGACAGAGATTTCACAACTTCCCTAGGCAATTTATTCCAGTGCTTAATCAGCCTGTCAGTTAGGAAGTTTTTCCTAATGTCCAATATAAACTGCCCTTGCTGCAAGTAAGTCCATTGCTTCTTGTCCTATCTTCAGAGGTTAAAGAGAACAGTTTTTCCTCCCTCCTCCTTGTAACCATCTTTTATGTACTTGAAAACTGTTACGTACTCCCCCAGTCTTTTCTTCTCCAGACTAAACAAATCCAGTTTTTTCAACCTTCCCTCATAGGTCATTGTTTGCTATACCTTTAATCATTTTTGTTGCTCTTCTTTAAACTTTCTCCAGTTTGTCCACATCTTTCCTGAAATGTGGCACCCATACTAGATACAATACTCCAGTTGAGGCCTAATCAGCGTGGAGTGGAAAAATTACTTCTTGTGTCTTCCTTACAACACTCCTGCTAATGCAGCCCAGAATTATGTTTGCTTTTTTTGCAATCATGTTACACTCAATGTGAATGGCAGTAAATGTTAAAATGTGATGCTTCCACGTTGATAAATTAAGACCCCAAATGCCTATTTCAACTAGTGAATTTATTTAATTCACTTAAAATATACACACGCGATCACAATCTTCCCCATGTTCTAACAATACTGGTGAAGTAAGGATAAAGTCCTCAAATCAGTTTCTCTGAGACTTTCTAATCTTGAGATGGTTTCAGAGAAAACAACCTATTCCCTTAAATATCACTCAAAACCAATATTTCTCTAGATACCATTCCCATGAAAATTTGAGCTACCATCAGAAAACCTGGTCTTATTGGTGGCAATAAAAAAAATTTCTACATAAAAAACCTCACTCATTTTAAAGAGCAGAAATTTCAACTGTTCTCTACTTCCCTACAGGTTCTATAAGTCAAACTCAGCCCTGGGGTAATCAGGTGCTGCTCCACTGAAAACGGAATTGGATCCCCTTTACACCAAGACTGAATTTGGCTCAGTTATTCAACTTAAGTATCAAGGCATTGATGTTCTTCCCATATTGTTTAGGCCTGACTTTCGGTAACACTTGAAGGAGTTGAGTGCACACCAAAGAATAAGCCTCTGCATATATCCCCCAAAGCAGCTGTCTGAAGACTACCTGGGTGTGTCTACTGTACAGTACATTTAAAAGTCCATTTCATTCAAACCAAAGTCTGGTGTGACTAGTTACGGAAATCCTCATTTACACACCTGTAGTTCCTCTGCTGTGGAAACATCCAATCCTGTTAGGTCCTGTATCCTCCTGTTAATGCGAGATACCACAGGGCTTTCATATCCAGACAACCAGGCACTAAATTAAAAAAGGAAATGATTTGCTAGTAACATACCTTAAGCTTGTGTTAGAAGTGGAACATTCAGAATCATCTGTAGACAATTGTTTAGGCTAATAATATAATTACTGGCATTGCCAGGTCCCACATTTGTGAGGCTTCTCTTACCAGAGAGGACATTTGTAACTTTGGTAATATCAGAGTCTTGAATAAGGCCCCTAGTTTCTATAATGGGTTAGGAAATAATCAAAGGAACCACATTTAAATTTTTTTAAACTAAGTAAGTTACTTTCCAATACTATTTGGACAGCTGAAGTGGACAGGACTAAAAATTGTATTCCATTATTTTATGTCAGGTTCTAACAATCATTTTGAACAAGCTTACAAACACAAGTTTTGCCCTGTCTATTCTGAACAGACAATCCATTGTAGGAACTTATGCAGCCGAAGCAGTGTTTAAACAGGGACCCGTATCTCTGTTTTTGGCTCAGCATACACAGGACCTTGGTGATTGCAACTCAACTCTCCCAAACGCTATCCTCTCAGGTTATACAGATCTGATTTCCACGCCTTCCCTCATTTCTTACTTGCTTTTAACATTTAATATAAATAAATTTAAATAAAACTTCACTGACAAGATTCCCATTATCAGGCAATGAAATAAATAGGGCAATTCACATCCCTCAGACCTATTTTTTCCAGACATACTGCACTGACATTTGGTTTCACATTTTCAATGCTTTCTCTGCAACTATAAGGACTAGAGACGTGACATTTTTAAAATGAAAGTGGAAATTCTAGAGAACAAGATGAATGCCTCAAAAAAGGATGGGTAGGAGGGACTGGGTTGAGTTGTCAACCCATCTCAATCAAAGCCCTGTTTGAACAGAGAACTGTGGCAAAGGGACTACCTCCATATTCCAAGCATAACAGTATAGATACACATAAAGAACAGTCCAGATGTTTATGCAGTGAGCAATACTACACAAGCTTTACTGTAGCTGCCCTCTGTTTAAATAAAAAACGAACAATTTTTTGTGGGCTCTCAAGACAATCGGTTTTCAGAAGGGCTTCTGGAGAATAGAATACGAAGTGGCCAAAGTTTCCCCATCTGCCCCCATTGGTGGCAAGAGCAAAAGTATATTTACAAAACAAAAAATCTGAATACACAGAAAAGGTATTTTAATTTCTCTCCTCCTTGTTCAAATATTCTTATCAGAACAGCTTGTAGAATATTCAGTATTTAGCAAATAGTTCTGCTTTAGTTGAGTAAGCAAATATTACCCAGAATCATTTTTTAAATATTCTCCAGCTTCCTAAATAGGTCAGCCTCAAAGTTCTGAAAATCATTTTAGAACTTTGCTGCCTTTAAATTATGATATTTAAACTTAGAACCAAGAGCTTCCTTTGCAATTAAGATACTTTTGGGGAAAAAATTAGTTCAGACGGAAATAAAACAGGTGCAGAAACAACAGATACTGTATAAGCCTTCAATATGAATCCATTGTCTTCATCTAGACCCTTAGACTACTGAACCAATGTATCATTCTGCAGGTATGGAGAAGATGAATCACAATGTCATCCTGTTTATTATGTTCATTCTTGAAAGTCAAGCAATGTAAAAATGGCAACTGTATCCAAAGGAAATGATTTAACTTGAGTATTACTGACTCAGTGCAACGGGGTTCAAACTTCGTGTCATCACAACTGAGCCAGTCTACTGGACCATTTCCCTTACCCCTCATGAACATATAACACTCCTGATGCATCTCCAGCAATATGCCTTTTTTTCTAGTCCCTTTTCTATTCCTCTTTGCACATGCTACCCAGCCATCTTTTCCTCTTCTCCTTTTTCTTCACCAGACAGTCCTCCCTCATTGACAGCATGAAACACTGATGACTCTGGTCCCTGAAGCTGGTTGGTTTACACAACCCTTTTATGTGGTAACTCCTCCTAGCCGCACAGCTAGCTCCCTGGATCATCTTTGCAATGGAAAGTCTAGACACCTATAGAAGCAGTGGGAAACTAGAAGCCAGCACCACTTGAACACCAGTGCCCACAGATCAATCTGAGAACCAGTGAACTGGCAAATCAGTATGTGCGTTGGTTCAAAGGGTTATAACAATTTTTCACCTACTAACATCAGTGTATTTCTACATACCTGTTCTTTTAAAAGCCCCAGAACGCCCCACATCAAGAGAAGCAGCAAAACACGTTTCTACAACACATGGTACTGACACAGGTTACAGAATCTCCAAGGGCAAACATGAAATCTGTTTAAATATTCACCATGCACAGAACAGCAAGTAAATGCAGTCCATCTCAAAATGAGGACTTCAGCACACTGGGAGTATTTATAAAAATACGGTAGAACAATTGTTAGCATAAGAAAGTGTTAAAAGCAGTCTAGCCTCATTCTGTTTAGAACAAACAAGGAGGAAAGGAATAGGAATGTGTGCATATGAAGCATTTCCCATAACAGCCAATTATACACTGCATATTGAAAATTAAAACCCCAGAACATGCAACACTGTCCTCAGAAAGGCACTGTAACAATGATACATAATACACAAGAAACCACCACAATAAGACCATTCTGTTACTATCAGGCTAAGCCATCACACCCGATTTAATCTGTGCTTGCTAGAAGACACTATTCAACTCTACCAAGTAGCTTTCACACTCCCTCGGAGTGCTATAGAGAAGACAGGTGGTCTAGTGGTTACGACACTAGCCTGGGATTCAACTCAAGTTCAATGCCCTGCTCCATCACAGACTTCCTGTGTGACAATGGGCAACTCACTTAGTCTGTTTCAGTACCTCATTTGTAAAATGGGGAAAAAAATAAAACCTGACTACTTCACACAAGTGGTGGGAGGATAAATAAATTAGCGTGTGAGGCATTCAAGTATTTATTTAGCCCCCCCCCCCCCCTTACCATCGGGTATAAGATAGAAGGGGCAGTGGTGGGGGGGGGGGGAAGGAAGAGAGAATGATCTTGCATTTTAATATTTGCCAGAACTGAGACAGGTTTCTGAGTCTGGCAGTTGTTTCCTCACCACAGCTGTGTGACAGAGAACAGAAGGAAGCCGATGATACAGATAAAACAAACTTTTGTGAAGAAAGACTATGAAGCATCAGTCCTATTTCTGGTAAAACAGCATCATACATGCATCAGACCCTCACTAGAATGCGGGGGTGGATCCATGTGCAGTCCCGCGCTATAAGTGAATTTGCGCTATATAGATGCGCGTTCTAGCGAGCGTCCGCTGTACTTTGGAAGAGTAACTTGGCAGTGAAAGCTACTTGGTAGAGTTGCGTAGTGACTTCTAGCAAGAAATTTTGGCACAGGTTGTCACCCATAAGCATCACTGAATCTACTTCCTCAGTTCCCATCACAGCTCAGAAGGATTTGCGTATTCCTAGCTCTGGATTGATTTTCCAGCAGCAACTAGCCTCTGGTAGTTCTCTAAGCCTCTAGTACAGCAGTTCTCAAACTTCATTGCACCGCGACCCCCTTCTGACAATAAATTTACTACACGACTGGGAAGAGGGGGGGTTCCACCACCCCGGGTGGGAGGGAGAGGAGGCGTGAGCCCCACTGCCCTGGGTGGGGGTGGAGCTTGGGCTTCAGCCCCAGGTCCTAGTAAGTCTATGCTGACCCTGGTGACCCTATTAAAATGGGGTCGTGACCTACTTTGCAGTCCTGACCCCAGTTTGAGAACTGCTGCTCTCGTAGGCTCCATTGGCTTTTATCATGCATATGAAGAGGTTCCTTCAGAACAGCAACTTCCAGCAGAATTTGTCTATCTGCCCTTCAGGGATACGAGCCCATCTGTATCATCCATTTTTGCTGCTAGTTTCAACTTTTGATCACCGTGGATATATTTAAAATCAGTCTAAGGGAGCTGTTCTCTCTACCTCTTGCAGGGCTCACTATCAAAGCAGCCAACGTAGGTATCTACAGTGAGTGCTGCTCTACAGGGACAGAAATCCTCCACTTGAAAAACTTCACTTCCCTTGCTCTCTTGTATCACCACCCTTCTCTCACACAACTCTGAAGACATTTTTCCACTGGTAATTGCACTATAGGATTAGTAATCAGTTAGAAAATTGTGCTCAACTAGCTGAACTATTAAAGTATGGATTTAAGGATCAGAGCAGCTCATGTGAAATGCATGCCAGGCTCTGCCTTTCAGTGCAACTTTTCCTTCGACTTCTACTGGCCAGAAAATAATTTCACTCATTTGAAGTATCATTATGCTTCAAGTGAATGTTACAGACAGGTAACCTTACATCTGAAAAGACTATCATCCACATTAAGAGGAGCTTTTTTCCCCTGGTGGAAAATAATTCTCTTTTGAAACCCCTTTTACTGGCGAAGGCCACAAGCATTTTTCTATTTTACTTTAAGAGGTAATCATAGGGAAACTAATATAGGACTTGAAGTTTTCTTTGTACCACTTCAAAAAGCCAAAATTCCTAGAGATTCCCTAAAGGGTAGAGAGGTCTAGTTATCATTGCTGCCATCATCAGAACATAACATTCAGCCACTCCCCTTCAGAAGCTGTTCATGGAAATCCATGAATAGAGCATGGTCTGTACACCTGAATTAGAAATATTCTGCCACACTGTATTTTACATAAAATATTTTATGAAGCGTTTGATATCCACACTGGTGGATATTTGACATTTTCTCAACTTGAAAATTAAAAAAAATTGGGAAATGGATGTTTGACCTTATTTTATTACAAATGAACAGTTAAAAATGGCAATTACATTTACTCCCCTTCCCTAGCATTTCTAAAAAGGTTGAATATAACCTAGTCATTGGTTTTGTACTGAGATACATAAAATATCACTTTCCTAACATTTTTACATACTAAGGATGGTCTAAATACTCTTCCTTTAGAGAGAAAGCAGTGATTAAAATAAAAGCAGAGGCTGATATTCCTGAAGAGGAAACACTAATATCATATGCTATGGATTCTAACTGGCTGCCTCAAAAATCACTAGTTTCCTTGAAAGCTGTGTCAGACTGGCTGGATATATTCTTGTACTGCATACAGCAAGGCTTGACATGCCTCTTCATGCGGCTGGCGACATGCCCCCGTTTACACAGTCTGCCACGTACTGCTGAGTGAACAGTAGTCTCCTCATAGAGGAATGCTGTAATTTAGAAGGGCAATGACTAGGAAAGAATGCCTGTAATGTTTGGAGTGGAGAAGCAGACATCTATTTAAAAAAAAAAAAAGTAAATAGAGCAGAGTTTTGGTATTCAGTAGTAAGGATTTATCTGGAATCCAAACCAGCTCAGTCAAAAAGCCCTAATAGGAGGCTATTTCCTCAACAAGTCTATTTACTACCAATCCTTTTGGAACAGAATTTCTAGTAATCTAGTATTTAAGACTTCATACTTTCTAATGTAATTTGTAGTAAGCTTCTTGTTCATAAGGGTTCTAAACTCATTGCTTACATAACTAACTAAGAGCTAATGATTTTTTTTGGGGGGGCAGGGGGGGATATTTTGGAAATTTTGTCTCTGTAAACCCAATTAATTTTTACCCCCTTTTAAAAAACACTATTCAAATGTTGAAGTTAAAACTATGACAAAAACCTTTTAATGACAGTCTCATTTGTTCAAAAGATAATTTAATCGAACAAAATGTGGATCTAATTTTCCAATGAATGCTGGATTTTATATTAAATCAACTAGCAGAGTAAATGCACAACTGGTTTGTGTGAAACCTACAATAACAAGGAATTTTTGAACTAAAGTTCTCAAGCTCTCTAACTCATGCCGTTGTTGCTATTCATTATAACAAATCTCAAGTGCTTAAATTTTAAACACAAGATATATTGGTACAATGGCACAAATAAGTGACCAGTGCAGTCCTTTCTGAAACTTAGTTTAGGTGGGACCCTTCACATTATTTTAACAGTTTTTTAGTATGCTAGTTGTCTTATTCAGGACCATGCAGACAGAAAAGCAGCAGCAGCTTTCCTTTTAGGTAGCAGGAATGCTTTAAAAACTTCCTATTTAAGCAGCCCATTTGCACCAATATGTGCCAGGTAATTTTTAGGCCACCTCATCTCTTCTAAATAGGAATGAGCACAAGAAAAATATGTATAATCTTTCCCCATCCCAGATTTGCAACTAGAAGATTTAACAGGCTAGCCACAGAACAGATTTCCTAGGTGTTAGATATACCTTTGGAACACATTCCCCTTACCTCTTAGAGACTCTGTAATGTGCTGTGGTCAGTTTCCCAGTCTGAGGGTCATGTACAGTAGCCCGGCTCAGCTACAAAAAGAGAAAGGACAAGGGCTTACTCTGGTAGTAGGCTTCTTTTTGCCAAGCCACGGGTGATTGGAAGGGTTTCCGATTGGTCTGGATGGTATGCAATGCTCTCAGATCAGCAGCAATATTTAGAAGGGAGACAGTATCTGCAGCTGCCATTTCCAAAATCAAGAATTGGGTGGACAAATTTGGTTAGACTGTCCTTTCACTTTTTTTTTTTATTTTATTTTATTTTTTAAATTAGAGACTTTCTGCAAATAGTTTATAGTGCTGAGTTTCAAAGAAAATTCCTCCATATCCAGAAGTTTAATGTTCTTTTTTTGTTTTAGTTAAATAAATACTGAAGAACAGGATTTTTGTGAGGAAAACAAAACAGCTAATGGAGGACTAGATCTTTACTAGGCAGCTCCTAAAGATGTCTTTTTAAGAGCTGCAAGTGCTAAGACATTTTATCCAACTTTTTTCAAAGAATAAACAACTCAAGTTCACAAATCTGCAATGCTTTTTAGCAAAGTGGAGAGAACTCGGAAGCCTGTAAAGAAGAAAATATTGCTTTCTTCAAAGTTTGAGTTAGGAGGCAAGGGAAAAAAAACAAAAACCCAACAGACAGGAGGAAGACAAATTATCTTGGACTAATGAACAAGTGTTTCTGCATGCCAATGCAACTGTTTTACAGGATAATGTGACTCCACTTCTGAATGCAAGGGATTCTCAGAGTCTGCCAGATTTAGCAAGGAGAGCAATGACAAATTTTTGTTGGCATATGTGGTCGGGGAAAGCAAATATAAGGTAACCGCCACTGAGTTTTTGCACCTGTGCACAGTCTATGCACCTGTGCAAATACTATTTAAGAAAAGGAATATTAGCTAAAATGGCAAAAAAACAGAACTTCTAGTTAGAGGAAAAGACTGAAAAACTCAGCAGTAACAGCCTGTTACAATATCTGTACATATTAAAGAGATGGTCTAGAAAGTCAGAAGTATCTTTTTAGACCACCCTTATTTCCCTGAATGAGCAGAGAACAAGCACTCATTACAGGCCCAGAATGTTTGGTGTATGAAGTCTCTTACCTTTTGCTAATTCTGTAATGTGCCGTCTCCAAGACTCCCGTTATGGGGTTTGAAATGGTGGCTCGCCTCAGCTGTGAAGCGAACCAATCAGAATAGTTGCATTACAAAGTAAATATTGCATCACATTAATCCGACCAGTCAGAAACCTACAGAGGGAAAAAAATTTCCACACAAGCCATGCACTTCATCCAATCAGTTTCCATTGTGGTGTTTTACAGCAAAAAGAGTATTTTTGGGGTGGCGAAGGGGGAGAAAATTCTTTAACACTAATAAAAAGGAGATACTTCAGTTCCTTCTTAGAGAAGAGGGAGTGAGTGAGTGGTACATTTTTTCCTAGAAGCAATACTCCAGTTTCTCGGGAGCAACAAGAGCAGCTGGTTAGATAAGTAAAGCTATTTCCTGTAACATCTTTCAACTCCTTTATACTCCAAGTGGCAACTGTTGAAGTTGTACAGCATGTATGTCAAAGACGTACAACTCTTACTTTGTTAACAATATACTGTACATCCAGAATGCACTTTAGAGTTAAATCATCAATAAGGAACACACTCTGAGTAAAAGTTTTAACCGTGGGGGGAGCGGGAGGGAAGGGGGAAAAAACCATGAAGGAAACCTTACCTTAGAATCTGAAAAATATCTTTAACTTATTAGCTGCATTAGCTAAACCTTCTACATTGATTGAATAATTGATCTGTGTTTTGCACACTCTGTTCCAGAACGCAGACCCATCAGCCACACCACGATCACAAATCATGTGAAATACTCCCCACGTTTTTGGTCATCCAAAAATAAGACTTTGGTCCAAGACTGTTCTAGAGCCTCTCTTCTCCAACCAACACACTGTACCATTGTCAAGTAATTTGCTTCCATCCCACTTTATTCAGCATCCCATTCTGCTCCATTTCCACAAGATCTGTTTCTGCCATACGATGTCATGGGAACACCACAAGCAAACTGCTTGTTGCTACTGCACATTCAGCTACTATACAGTGAGCCATAATTGGGAAAGTTTCAGTTACAATGCCCCAGCATTAGAAGCACTAGAAGGTCATTGTCATAGACTATTATGGTGACTCCAGGCCAAGGAGGGTTTATTGAGTACTGTTTATGTCAATCTGGGCAAGTGTTTTACTACTAGTTTTTATTTTTATTTTGCAATAAAGGCTCAAAGCATCTCAGACCTTACTGATTCAAACAAAGTCAGGGAATCCCTTAATTTGCACTGTTCACCCCATTTTGTCCCCTGGGTAAAGTGGCTGGATCATTGCACACAGCCTACTACTCAAAAACAGACAGAGTTTCCAAAGATTGAATTAAGCTTTTCTCATGCCAGCTGATGACAAGGGAGCAGAAGACTGGGTAGTGATTATATACCCTTTCACTTCTAGACTCTAAGACTTCTGACACACTCGCAATGCCTGGAATACAAGAGATGAACTTTCAGCCTCAAAACATAGCCTCATGCAGCATCAACCACTGAACCCTGCAATGTCTAGGCTTTAAGTTTGAATGTTCCACATTTTTCAACGTAAGAGATTAGTACCCGTGACTGGCACAGTTTTGTAACAGACTGACTATTTATCTGACTAGAAAACAATGGTCCCAAAAAGTTTAGTTTAAATCTACTATCATCTGTGTATCGTTTTTAGACTTTCTGTGATCCTTATAACAGAAAGGTTTTCTTTCCACTCTATAAAGAACAGGTTAGTTACACTCCAAGGAGGCAACACCAGTGTATCCTACAGCAACAATGCAGCCCAATCATCAGTTGCATCATTTTCCATGATTTTGTAACACAATGAAATAGGAATTAGCACACAAAGTGGGATCTGATTCCTGATGCGATCCACATGGGAAGCATAGGCAGGAAGAGATGTTTTAGGTGTAAGGAAGGAGTACAGCACTTGAAATCATATCTACTGCTTTAGTCTGGGGTGTTACCTCAAGAACAAAGAGTGGCAGGCGATAGAGAGCCTACTCTTCACTTGATGCTCTTCAGTACTCAAGTTGGTGGCTAACAAAGGCAGCACCATTCTTGACTTGATTATGGATAAGGCCTTTGATTTGCTTGAATAAAGGAGAAATGGTTGGATAATTTCTCTTAGATAATTCCGATGTACCTATCCACATAGAATTTATCCTTCATTTGCTCAGCTAGCTCCCAATAAGTATCTGTTTAGCATAAAGAGAAGACATGCTGGGGAAATGATGCACTTATATTGTTTGCATCTGATTTCAGAAGTAGTTGGTGACCTATACAAGCATGGATTAATTAGAATAGCTTCACCTCAAGTACAAGTCTTGAGATAGAGTTAAATTGAGACAAGTTGTGTTATATTTACTGCCTTGCTACACTGCAAGCTTCCTAACAGATTTAATCTGTCCTGGTGTTGCAGTTACCAATCATATTGTTACTTCCAGCAAGATAGCTTTTTTGTTTGACCTGGGCTCTCATGGCTGCCTTGACAATAAGCCAGTCCTAGGCTACTTCAGATTCAGAGACTGGTCCTTTGGAATCTGGTTCTTGAAATAGGATTGGAAAGCTGAGGTGATGAAGTGGGAGAATGAAGGTTATGTTAGTTCAAACTAAAAGAGGCATAATAGGTTGGAAGTTAAATGGAGCTATGGTGAGCTTTGCTGAAAAGGACTTATGTAACTGCCCCAGAGCACCTCATGGCCCTGAGTCAGTTTCAGATGACTAAAGAAGAGTACTACTATTCTGTAGATGTCCATATGGTAAATGATTATCTGGTGTCCATGACCACATATGGTGGCTCCTAAATGGCATCTCCATACAAATCATTATCATTTATACGCCATAGTGACCGATGACAAGTATTCAACATAAATTAGAGTTGAAGTAGCGGCAGCAGTATACTGAGGCAGGCCAGTTGTAGTAGGGGTAAGTTTCACGCTGTGACTATTGTGGAGTTGAAGGAGGTTCTCTTCTCCTCCATAATAGCATCCACAAAAATCTTATCCAGCAGAACAGTTTGGTGAATCTGCTGTGCCATCTCCTGGGAAGAGATTCTAATGTGATTACATTTCCAACTTTCACTGAGAGTTGACCAGCTTGCCACTATAAGCATTGCAGAAAAATAAATTGCTGTGTGTGTAACATCATTCACCCAAGCTAATTTTACAAACTCCTAATCAAGAGGTGAATTGAGCTCATGCACATAGAACACTATAGATGGCACTGAAGTTTCCAAAACAAGAGAAAACTGAAGCTCTTTACCCTTGGCTTTGCTAGTTCTTTCACGGTTTCAATTTCTTCATCAGAAATAATTTCAAGGAAGCGAACAATCCGAGGTTTGTCCCATTCATCCTCCTGTTTGACAGGACCCAGAACGTACTTGGGATTCTGGTTTCCATCGTAATAGCGGCAGAAGAGTTTCTTCTGTCTCCGAGGCGTCTGAAATCAAGATAGAACAAAAAGAAAAAGAATCAAGTGCTTGCTCACATTAACACCATTACAGGACACACACACTTTTTAAATTTTTTTATATAAAAAAAAAATTACACAGTGACAGAAATGCATCTAATGTGACGCAACTGGTGAGGGTGCGTGTGTGTATATATATGTATATTTATTTATTTTCACACCATGGAACTTGTTGACCTGTCATATTCCATCTATAAACCTGACCACTTTCTCTGTTGGTGTTCTTACGCATATTCATATGGCAAGCATATAACACTACGGCTATGTTTGTACAGTTCACCCAGGTCTGAGTATCCAAGTTAGCTTTACCCAGGTGTGAATGTCCCCTCTGCCAAGCCCTACCCATGGTGCTGTGTTATGACTGTTTCTCCATTCACCCATGTGTGTCTGGGGGAATATCTCTGTTCTTTGTGCTGAGATGATCTAGGATTCTTTTCCAGACAATTGCAGGAGAACTATCTTTTTGGGGGAATTGTGGGAAGGGCATTAGAGGACTATCAGGACTTGAATGGTTTAGCCTACATCCTCACTGCAAAGAGGGTGGGCTCCTGCCCAACATAAAGTGGAGCCCAGGTTCTAACCCACATTCCTAGCTGGGATAAGCTAGCCTGGGCTTAACACACCTACAAACCCAGTGTGGACAGTAAGGGGATAAGGCTAAAACCTGGGAAAGATCAAGGGGTAGACTACGCCGCATAGACATATCCTTAAGGGGGTGGGGGTGGTTCTTCAGCAAACATTAAATGAAATAACAAAAATTAAACAATTTATTTATAATTAGTTAAACTGTAAGTCAATGAAGAGAAATTTTGCATATGATTACAACAAATTCAGGAAGGAAGAGGTCAACCCTCTAGCTCCTAAACAGCATCAGCTGAACAGTATTTAGACATTGGATTGAAAGAGTCCACCATCACTTTTTGGAAAATCTAGATGAATAAATTCATAGTCACTTAGACTATTCATCACTGCTATGATTGGCATCAGCCTTTTCTTCATTCTGAGAAGAACAAAACACAGTAATTCATTTTCCCTATGCCTACTTGTACTTTACCAATTGAGGAGACTGGAGTCTCCTCAGGGAGGTCAAGCACAGTGTTTGAGAAACCATGCTCTCAGCAAGTTTAATATTAGACACATCTTATAGCAAACGTTAACTGTAAAGTTAGTCTTAAGATGAACAATGTTCAATACTGTGTGTAATACAATCTGTGTGGTAATGCAATACTCTTATTTGATTCTCAGTGCACTAACTGGTATTAAAATACATTTGTAATAGGGTTAGTGGGCAGCATCCTCACACATGGGTTACTATTTCTTCATTCAGAGATGTTGCACTGTCCCTCTTCATTCCTTCCACTATATGTCTATACTCATTCTATTGCTACAAGGATTTCCTTATGTTCAAGCTGCACACAAACTTCTTGCAAATGTTCATCAAAAATGCTTTGAACGTAGGCCACCATAAAGACAGGAGTAAAAGGCAAAAAAGTGTGTTCTAAAGGTGAGCCAGCTCATCCCTGCAAGCTGACTGATCTTCCTTAGAACTAGAACTTGCTGATAACTTCTAAATGAGTCCTGCATGAGTGGTTCTGTAGATTAAACAAAAAAACAAACACAAACAGGCTAGTCCACGTTACCATTTTGAGACCCTCCCCACGGCACAGCATTTCATACTTCTGTCTCTCTGGCAGGTAATCTTTGCTTGGTTCCTTTTTCTTAGTCTTTGATTCCTTGTCAGTCTGGCTATCTGTTTTGGTAGTAGACTTATTTGCTTCTTTTTCTTTAGACATGATATATTCGAAGTATTTTAAGTTACCATTTGCTCTCTGATGTTCAGGATCTAATGGAGAAGAAAGGAGAGGCACCACAGATAAGTTTGCAACTTGTAGAAGTCAACCTGAAAGGGCATATAAAAGCAGCTCCTTGAAAAGAAAAAGAAAAAAAACACTTCATTTTGGGACAGATGTTGTAAAAATTAATGCTTAGTGAGCCAACATGCTTACACAGTTAAATCAGAACAAAAATATAGCTGAAAGCCTGACCCAATTCAATAAGTGACAGGTTGGGATGTAACACATTTCTGTATTCTCATTGCTCATTGTTCAGGGAAGCAGAGAATGGGCAAGGAAAAGCTTAGCTTAAACCAGCAAAATCCAAGGAACTGACACCTCCACTGGAAGCAATACTACACAGCAACAGTTAAGAGATAGAATAAACGTTAACTGTTCCATGGGAGAGACAGCCTGCAAGACTATAAAGGGACACAGAAGTGAGGAGGTTATGGCTGCGATGTCCCATCAGGAAAGCCAACAGGGAGAGAGTTGGGCCAGGAAGACTGACAGCTGACAAAGCGTGTCAGACAAAACTGCTACTTTAACAAGCTACGCCAGCTCATTCCTCCATTTACTGATGAAGGGGTTTTACTGCTGTGAAAGGAATAATTCAGAATTAAGAGTAGAACATCCTCCTTTAGGCACTCAGATACCACACTAATGAAAATGACAAATCCCTAGATATACTATGCCATTGTGCTTAAATATCACTAGGCAAGCCATTATTGGATTCTATATTTGTTGTCTTTCAATGATTCCAAATCAAAACTGCTCAGTCTGCAATTTAAAAGATAGTTTTCATGGGCCAACTCTGCAGACTCAATATGGGTTTTTTCAGCCTCAGGTACCATTAAAAGAGATCCTGCATTCTGTACTCAGGTTTAAACAATTGTGTTTATATACACGTAAGAACAGAATTCATCTATAGGAAAGAAGCTATACTGACTGTATAACTAAGAGGAATAAAAAGACAGTAAAACTAATTTTAGACAATTTAGAAAATAAAGAAGAGATGACTGAACATGGTGTTCAGATACTATGGCAATGAGAGCGATGTGAGTGCCTAGAGAGAAGGGATATATACAAGAGCAAGTGTTGAGCAAGCTGCTATTTTTTACATAGTACGTTAGAAGTTGCGTTCTGTTCTAAATGCTTAAACATGCAGTCACTGACATATCTTGGTTATTAAACATATTAATTTGATGCAATAGTGCTATGAAACTAACACATTAATCAATTTTTAAACCTTGGTAGCTATGCAAGGCCAAAATGGATTATAAATCAATTTATAAAAATACATTGGGGTTTTGAATGCCAAGTTTAAGAATACAGCATGTTTGAGGCCAAGTTTATAATCCCTGTAAAAAGAGTTTTAGTCAGTTACTTACAAATGATAATGTAGAAAAATATGCATTAAAGGAGCACCCAAATGCTTCAAGGACAATCAGGGCCCCCTAGGGTTGCCAACTTTCTCACCGAACAAAACCGAACACCTTGTCCCGCCCCTTCTGAGGCCCTGCCCACTCCCTCCTCCATCACTTGCTCCACCCTCACCCTCACTCACTCGCTCATTTTCACCGGACTGGGGAGGGTCCCTTTTCGACCGGGTGTTCACTTGAAAACTGGACACCTGGCAATTCTCCACTGCGCAAGATATTGTACAGCCACACAGGAAGAGATTCCATGCCAAAAGAACTTACAACATAGCGGGAACTGCCCAATTCTGCTAGAAGTATTTGTCTCTTCCTTTAAGGATGGAATTTTTAATTTACCCTTCTTGAAAGCAAATGTATGCAAGTAGTAAAATTTAGGCCAAAATAGAAACAACCATTCCCCCAAATGCAAACTCCCATCCAAAAAATGAACTCAGATGTACCTCAAGCAGTCAGTTTCACGTTACAGATCATTTCTTAAGACAGGCATACTTTTATGGCCCTCCTCCCTTGCCAAACTCCCAGTGCGGATCACAACATCCTTGCAGCAGCTATTATTATTATTATTTGAAAGAGTAATATTAGGGAAGATTATTTTCATCATCGTTTAATACAATGGGTGTAACTGCTTGATTGGATACCTTCCTCACCCATTTTATTTTGGCAGAAATTCACCTGTATGACAGAAGCAGCCACCCACAATTACTCTGCAAAGCAAAAGTAATCTACAGACTATAATATGAAAACTGCTATATCACAGAATTTCCTTACCAGTTTTACAATATATTGTGGATCTAGTCTCTTAACAACATACCCAGCTCAAGAAGTCGCTTGGTGAGCATCATTGCTTTGTCCAGGTCCCCCTGCTGATACACAGCATAACTCAAATAATCTAGAATGGAGACTTTGTCAACAGTAGACACCTCTCCATCATCAAGCTGTTTCAGAGCTTGCACCATCCATAGCTCAGTATGATAGTAGTCTGCTTCGGTGTATGCAATCTTGCCCAATTCAAAGCAATCTTCAGCTGTTAAAAAAGACTTGTGCTTTACACCTATAGAAAGCAAGAAACACACAAGGTATGTAGGATTTGGAAACATAATACTCTGAATTTTCTTACTACCCACTGAACAAATTCAATTCTGTTTAGTGCTGGCACCCAGAGTTTAGAATGTACTTACCTTTGTTAGTGGCTATATTGTTGAATCCTTAGAAGTTAAATCCCTGGAGCATCAAAGTCCACATAAAATGCATATGCATTGAGATACATAAAATTTCTCATTGACTAGTCACTGAATTCTACAAAGGTTTTTATGACTGAAAAGCACTTTATGCAGAAGCAATATTGACCTAAATCAATTTAAATATTTTCTTTTCTACCAGTAGTAGTTTTAGAAATGGTTCAAGCATTGGTCCTAGAGCCTGGGTTAGGCACTTTCCATATACATTTTATTTATTTCAAAAGCTTGTCTGTGCACATCTTGTTAGCAACTGGCAAGCTGATGAGGGAGGGAAAGAAGCATCAACTATGATAATCAGTAACTACACAACTGGTAAAGGTTATGAAGTAACTCGTGTTTAGAAGCAGAGTCTAAAATGGCCTCTATTTGAAAGTTTAATTTGAAGTCTTTGTAAGTAAATTACAGGTTTCTATTTTTGCCACTGTAATTCAGGGCCCATTGAAGAATCAAACTCTGTCTTGTAAAAAGGGAATGGCAAATATTTGGAAATACAGGGTGGAGTAAAAGAAACACTACAGAAAAATGCAGTATCCTTCATTGTCCATGACATTGTATCAGCTTAACTGCTTTTCGTTTACACCTGAAGTTAAAGTAAAGTAATCATGAACATAAATTATGGATTTCATTGTTTTCTATTCTTCAACACTTGAACTCTGCCCTGCAACTTCAAGATTGTGTTCTAACAATGTAATTTTCTGGGGAAGACAAGCCCTGAGAGACTAACCTGCCGAAAGGATGAGAGTGGAAAAAGGAGTTCTCTCCAGCAGCGCAATATCATTTTTCCATTCACTGTAACTAAACCCGAGATGAGCTTTTTCAGGGTTTCAGACTAAATATGTTGTGCATTCAATTTCTTTTGTTTAAATCGGATCTTCTCTTCTTACTAAGTTTTGTTTTTAATTAAACTCTTGAGTTTTAGACGGTCTTGAGATTTCATGCAGACTGTCCCAGAGAAGTTAAAATGACCTTCAGCCTCTTAGGGTATGTCTACACTGCAACAGAACATGTGTGGCTGGCCCGGGTCAGCTGAGTCATGGGGCACATAGCAGTTCAGTCTCAGGCTGGAGCCCAGGCTCTGGGACCCTCCCTCCTCGTGGGGTCTCAGCCTGGGCTCCAGCCGGACACCGAATATCTACCCTGTAATTTTATAGCCCCTCAGCCCAAGCCCTGAAAGCTTGAGTCAGCTGACCTGGGCCAGCCACAAATGTTTTTTTGCACTGTAGACATACCCCAAAAAAGCAGAAGATGGTTGTTGGGAACCTACCCACTTGGGATTCTTTGTCAAAAAGGGCACAGCCTCAGGCCTCCTCTCCGATAACATTTATTGCTTGTAGGTCTGATGTAGATGCTCAGGAAACTTAACATCCACAGATAAGAACTAAGTGTAAGGGGCCCTATATAAACAAAGTGCTGAGCACAAGGTCTACATTCACCACACAAACAGCACTGATAACTAACAGATTTATTTGTGTGGCAGGGAAATTATACAGTAATTGTTCATTTTGTTACAGAAATAGCCAGGGCAACTGCTTAGTACAATATCAGTTTTAAAAAAACAGCAAGGTCTGAAATGCAGAAGATCGAAAAGCAGGAGAATTAAGCAAAGAGGTAGCAATGTTCAACTGAATTGGAGAAAGTAGAGATTGTGGGGGGTAAAACTGGATGCATTAAGTGACTGAAAATCATACAGAAGACAATTAGTGACCAAAACAGATAAAATACTAGAGATTTAGAATTCCATTAGCCCTGGAGACCAAGAAAACCAGAGAATTTTACTTCTAGAATGAAAATTTAACTGATCAACAATTATGATGGGTTCAGATGCAATTTTATCACAATACTATTAAAAAGCAGAATTATATTACCAGGCAGCACACAGTTTGGGCTGCACAGGCTTGCTTCCAAGAAAGACAGTAGAATATGGTCCATAAATTCACTTAATTTCTTATAAAAGACAACAAATGATAAAAATCTGTGTGGTGGGGGGGGGGGACGGACGGACATCAGATCTTGAAAGAATAGTCAAGTTTAAGATTAACAAAACACAGAAAACAAAATTACACTTTGCAACATTAAAGCCAATCACTCCCAATTTTATTAGGCATCTGAACATGAGAGTTTGTGAAAACATAACATGGATTGTGCAGTGCTTATTTTTCCCCCAGTTGCTAAAGGACTGTTTTAGAACAGAAGAAGAGAGAAACCAGTAGAGAAAGTTAGGAACTTTAATTTAATTTTCTTCCCAAGGGACAAACTGGCTTTTCCTGCCTACAAAACTGTTAAAGATTATTTTAGCTAGCTTTGTATGAGTGCAAGTGATTATGTATGTTTTCCACATGTTCCTCGCTTGCTCTTAATGTTTATACACTATATAGCTTCAGGCAATCCTATGTCACTTAATTTTTAAACTCTCAAAAAACAATCCTTTTTATAAGTGGGGGGGGGGGAAGGGGGAAGGACTATACAACAGTGTTCTTTTTTACTAACATGTATTCCACTGCACACATGCAGTTACAGAGTTTTAAAATACAGCTTGCTGATTACAACATTTAAAGTGAACAAATAAAATAAACTCACTCTTAATATCTCATTCCTGTTTAATTTTTTTCTTTAACATTACAGCATGAAATACTCTAACAATAAATGGAGAGAACTGGCATTTTTTAACTGTCCGTAATTAGTGCAGTGATTTGTTTACCTACTGAACTCAGTTTTCTATACAAGCCATAGGTTAAAGGCTTGCATTAACATAATAGGAATATTTATCCAGCCAAGTGTGCTAATTCTGTGGTATTTTAGAGAGGAGCTATAAAGTGGACTTACAAATGGAAACTCACTTGCAACTTTAAATATTGAGCAACTAATCTTGCTCTAGGAGAGAAAGAGTTCAGCTTTGCTTGATCACAGGCAATAGCTCCATCAGAAGCCAAAAATATGACAAATAAAACTACCAGATACTTATCCTTCCTACGTACAAACATCGACTTACACAGAGCAGGCTAGATTCAGTTGGAGTCTAATGCCAATTTTTGCTATTCTAAACCCAAGCACAAGTTCCTGGCAGCAGAAAGCCCATCAGAGGAAGAGAAAGTGTTGAAGAAAAACGGCTGCAACACACCCACTGCCAAAGAACTGAAGGAAAGACCAACACACCCAAAAAGTGAGCCTCGGAGGGAATGTGTGTGGGGCACATAGTGTTTCAGCACATCCCTCAGCAGTTTTTGCTGTGTCCCTCCCCATTGGAAAATCCCAAGGAAGTGCTATGGTACCAGTGCTCATCTTGCCTTGAGTAGAGTGTTCTCTAGGGTACAGGTTGACACAGGGAGATGTGACTCACCTCCCTGCAGCAGTTCAATTAAGCTGGCCCACAGCACACAAGTTTATATAATCATATACTGGCTGAAAGCTAGGAAAGTCTGGGGTTTTTTCCTATTAACAGCATGCTAGGCGCTTTACAGGCAGGCATGAAGAGAAGACTTCTCAAAAGGATTTATAATCTGGATATTCTGTAACTGCACAGCTATTTTTCCCCCAACTAGCACAGGTGCTTCTTACCTGGAAGATTCCCCCTGGAGAGGGTGTCTGTATCCAAATTATAGGTATCCTGGAGCCGTAGGAGAGCTTTGGCTGCACCAGCCTGATCTTCATCATTAGGAAAATACTGGCGTTGAATAGTCATATTAGAGATGAAGCCTTAGGAGAAAAAAAGAAAAGGTTGGAGAGATCAAGAAGAGGATTGGGCTTTGCTTGTCCTGGGAGTTTTACATTAAAAAACATTTAATTACAAATAAATATCTCTACACAAATTGTTGGATGAAAATAGCCTGTAGTGACATGCTGGTTATTAAATCAGAGGCAGATCTTCTTACAAAAGCTACCACCTTTGGGCGGGACTCTAGATAAACAGTGTGTAGGCCTATTTGTACAGAGCAGTAATATGCTAACAGTGCACCTCTCTAGATTATTCAATAGTCATTTCATTAGTGTCCTAACAGGCCAATGAACCAAACATCACACAAGACCAACCATGCTGAATTGTTTTTAAATAAATAAATAAATCAAATCACCAATACACAGCAAATTCAAAGATAAACTGTTAAAATTAATTATCCTTATCTGTTGTCTTAGGGCTCTTCTTCCAAAAGAATCCCTATGCAGTATCGTGAGATAAGGTAGCAGAACAGGGGAAAAAAATGGTATCACTGTTACTACCCATGCAGGACCAACCTTGAGGCAGGATTGGTGATATTGTTCCAGCAAATGTATTGGGAACAGACAATCACTAATTTCACACATAAGTACGTTGAAAGATGCCTTATTTTAGTAGAAGTTTACATGGAAAATGTGGGAGGAGTTTCTCACTATTAAATAAGTTTAAGTCTAATTTTCACAATACTTTGAATCAAGTTTTTCATTCATGCAAACTAGACTACACTTCTGAATATTAGTCCTTCAATTTAATTTTTTACTTCTATGTCTATTTAGGATGGTGGAGGGAAAGAATTGTTTTAGGATGGTGAAAGGGGTATAAATTAATGTAAATTAAGTGTTGTGAACCAACACAATGGAGGCCCCCCCATTCACATACTAAGTCAACAGGGAGACAAAACACTGGAGACTGAACCACAGGGGGCTGCCCTGTCTTTTTCCCCAGGTCAGACTGGCAGAGATGCTGGGGGGGGGAGGGGGAGAGGAGGAGTTCACCTTCCTCTGCAGCATGTGGCACTGGTTGCTTGCTGGTTTGAACTAGAGTAAATAGTGAATTTTTCTGTAACTTTAAAGTCTTTCAATCAAGATTTGAGGACTTCAGTAAATCAGAAAGAGGTTATGGACCTCATGCAGGAGTGGGTGGGTGAAGTTCTGTGGCCTGCAACGTGCAGGAGGTGAGACTAGACCATGATGGTCCCCTTCTAGCCCTTATAGCAGGGGTGGGCAAACTACGGCCCACGGGCTGGATCCGGCCCCTCAGGGCTTTGGATCTAGCCCGCGGGATTGACTCCCATGGTGCCACGGGCCCTGTGCCGCTCTCAGCAGCAGCCAGCCTGACATCCTGGAGCAGCGTGGGGCTGGGGACAGCGCAGGCGTGCGGGGAGCCTGCCCTGGCCTCGGTGCGCGCTACTGCCACCCTGGAGCCCAAACCCCTCCTGCACCCAGCCCCCCAACTCCCTGGCCTAAGCCCCCTGGCTGCACTGCACACCCCTCCTGCACCCCAACCCCCTGCCTTGAGCACCCCTCTGCAGCCTGCACCCATGCACCCCAATCCCCTGCCCTGAGCCCTGACACACCCCACCTCCCTGCCAAGCCCCCTCGTACACCCTGCACCCCACCTCCCTGCCGAGCTCCCTGCTGCACCCTGCACCCCTGTGCACCCCAACCCCGTGCCCTGAGCCCCCTCATACACCCTGCCCTGAGCCCCCTCATACACCCTGCCCTGAGCCCCCTCATACACTCCGCACCCCTCCTGCACCCCAACCCCACATACAATTTGTATTATGCCCTGCATACAATTATGTCTTGTAAAACCCAGATGTGGCCCTCAGCCCAAAAAGTTTGCCCACCTCTGCCTTACAGTTTATGAGTAAACTGGTATGTATACTGTTCCCTTTAGGAGCATATACCTGGTATTACTGTGAGTGCTCAGCAGATAAGGTGTTAAAATACTACAATGGAATGCTTCAAAAAGTCTTGGAGTGCACCTATTGTTAACTTGCAAGGCAAAAGTAAGGGCTGGCATAGCCTAGAGGAGATTGTTTGAGTAGCTAACAGACTGCTTTTTCAGGGAGCTGAAACCCAGTTAAACACAAGCAAATTTCCCTTTTGCTGGAGGTAGAGGGGTAAACAAGGTGACTCAGTCCTGGACACCCCAAGAACCATCACAAATAGTCCAATCTTTGAGGAATTAGAGCTCTCTGAATTTACTCCCTTTGTCCCTGAAGTTTTGTTGTTGAGCTTTTGATCTCTTTCTGTATAGCTCAGAGCTCGTTAAACTTTTTACCAGCACCATCAGCAATTTGACGATCAGGTGATAAGTGCACAACATTTACCTACATACAGAAAAAACAGGGTCTTCTTCTAAAGAGAGACTCACAAAGTCACGGAAAACATAGAAATCCTTGTATCTTGATGCATGCAAGATACAAGTCAAATAATTCTCTCAGCAAAAGTGTTTGACCATTGTTATTTCTACTGCAGGTGCAGTACAAAAAATATGTTCCTCAAAAAACAAAGTTGTGCTTTGCTTGGCATTAGAGTGATAATGTTAATCGGAGTATTAGCTGTGTGTCGATAACTCCAAAATCTCCTCAAACTTACCATCTGACATGTCCTTCAGGACCAGATTCTCCAGTTCACCCCACTCAGTGTTAAGTCGTTTCATTAACTTGAATGCATTTACAGGATGCCCCAAGAATCCTTCTGGGTCTTTTGTAGCAGTGTCTGTCAGTTGATCTAACTTCTCTGCCCATCTATGAAACATATATATATTAGGAATAAGCTTAATACAGCATCACCTAAATATTTTCCTCTGTATTGTAAAACTAATGCCGAGCTACTTGACTCTCTTGACTGAAAGAGCTTCCAGTACAAGTTGTTTGTTTTTACTTTATCTATACACAAAGTTAGTGTGCAAGGAATAAAAAATGTCATCTTTCTCAGCCCTCCCTCTGCTGTGATATAAACCTTGAAGTAGCATCACTCATGATCTTTCAACATGAAAGCGCAATGCACCAACACAGGACTTCTCTACAATATGCAGGAAGAAAGGTAAATACATACTGCCATAGGTAGCGTCCCAGCAATTCTTTTATAAAATTTCACTCAGGAATGAATAGTCCAATATAAAGTCTTACCTGGGGTTTTGATAATTTATTTATATGTAATATTTAGATATATTTTTGTACTTTGCAAAAAAAGTAGTTGAAAACATGTTTTACTCATAACAGGGGAAAAATTAGTATCTAAATATTAAATTTTGAAAGTTAGTCACTGAGCATGCTCAACCCTGGGGCATATATTCTGGTCTTTGCCAGGAAACTGTGTTCCAGAATCCAAGCTTTTATTTAAAAAACAAACAAACAAAAAAAACCAACACACACCATGAGAGCCAGATTTTTTTTTTTTTTTAATAAAACCTCCTATACAAGAACTGATTGCAAGCTGATGTAGCACTGTACTCCTGTATCTGCAGGCAGCCTAAACTATGCATCTGTGAGAAGTTCTCCACTATCCAGTTGCAAAAATCTCCAAGCTTCCCTTCAACAATTTCTATAGTGCAATGCAAAATAAGAATCAGCAGCATCTTGAAAACTGAAAGTATAGGGGCAGAGTAAAATTAATGTAATATGGAAAAAACACTTTTAATATTCATATAAAGCTGCCAAAGAATTTCTAGTCTGCCACAGCAGAAAGCACCACCTTGCATAAACCTAGATTGAGACAGTAAATAGGCTTTATATTTAGACACACAAAAGTAAGTTTACCTAGTTGACTCACTGCTCCTTCTGGGCTCTTGGGTAGTGAAATAATTCATTATTTGTATTCACTCCTCCCATGGATCCTCCAAACCTCTGTTGAAGCCCTTTCCTGCCCACAGAAGCCCCATGTTGTGGTGACCCTCCTCAACAGCAGAGCATGGGTATGTCTACACTTAAACCTGTAGTGCTTCAGTGTAAACACTACCTACACTAATGGGAGGGGTTCTCCAGTCAGCATAAGTAATCCACCTCTCCGAGAAGTGGAAGATAGCTTGACAGAAGAATTCTTCTGTAGACCTAATGCTGTCTACACTGGGGGTTAGGTTGGCATAGCTACTTCACTCAGGGGTGTGGACTTGTCACACACCTGAGACCCCCAGCTATGGCGATGTAAGTTCCCAGTGTAGACCAGCCCTTCAATTGGACATGGCTCTCTCCTGGAAGTGCTAGTGCTATTTGCCAGCCAATACAGGATTAATAACAAGCACTGTGCTCTTCTTCTGTGGCCAGGGATTGAGCAGGCAGCTCTGTGTAATGCTTCCAGCTTTTAACAACATGTTAACACAAAAAAGCCTGATAATACGATTTCACTGAATTGATAGCATTTTTACTATCAGGGCTTTGGAGCGGAGCCCAGAGCTGGAGCACGGAGCAGCGGGTTTTTGCCTGGAGCTGGAGCGGAGCTCCAAAGCCCTATTTACTATTATATGACCATTTAAAAAAGAAGTTAATAAGTGGATACAAACCATCTTTACAACCATAAGACCGGAGGCTGAAGCCAAGACTTTGTTCCTAATAAACTTCCATACTATATAAACCCAACCATAATCCACCCACAGATTAATGGGCCCTTCCCCCCCCCCGCCCCCAACTTCAGGAGCCAATGGAATGTATTCATTCCCTGCAGCTGTAGAATGGTGTCCAGCAAGTTTTAAAGACAGGATGTTTTTGTTTTAACTTTGAATTCTTTGGTTTTTAACCTGCTGATGTACATGTCTATATAGCATACACATGCAGTAATGATGCTTATGTGATAAAGTTCCACTTACACACCTTTGCTAGGGATCACTGGGCAGATGAAACTAATTTGTGGCTGTATAGCCTACTTCTAACATTTCAAACCTATGTACGACTTCAAACACATGTATTTTATAAAGCCTCAAAAAGTAAATAAATAAATATAGCTGGACATAAAAGTTTCCTTCTTTAAGTTACAATGCTCCAAGATGTAATACAGGCAGTAATCTTTTGGACCACTGACAGGTTGAAAGGTCATAAATCTCATAACCCACCATGGCTAGGCTACAAAGAGATGAAGTTACATAGAAAAGTCATTTGAAAGCTAGGAATTCCCCTTTCCAGTGGGACAAGGTTCCTCCCCCAATCCCCAACCCTGGTACATTTTGAGATATTAGGCCTTCCCCCTAAAATCTTTACTATTGGACAAAATGGTAATTGATACAGTTTCAAATTTTTTATTTAAAACCAACTCCGCTTTTATGAAAAAGATATGGCATATACAGAAGAGATGATGGCATGGGGTGATTTTGTTATGATTTACTAGAATGCATTTGGGAAGCCTATTGGACTAGTTACAGCTTACCCACACTGCAGCCACCGCAATATATATTAAAACTTTTTAAGCTACAGCACATCATGATGTTTTCTCTAACACACACACACACACACACACACACACACACTTGATTTGTTGGTTTCCTATCAGCAAGGCATGTTTTTGGAAGAAGTAAACTCACCTGGGAATCCTGCCAAGAGAAATCAAAATTTCCCAATACAGAAATCAGACTCAACATCACAAAATAAAACAAAATGACGACTCACAAAAGAGACATTCATTTAGGACAAAAATCTTGCAGAAATTACAAATTAATTTTTATCCCCATAGGCAATAAATTCCTGTTCAGCCTTCAGGAACCTTCTTGTACATGAAGGTGGAGTCACAATTAAATATTAGTGTTATGAAACCAGTTGCTTACTTTTTGATCTGTTCCAGCTTGCTCTCTTCTGCCTTGATATAATCTTTCAGTGATGTCACCAGGTCTTTTTCTGTGTTAATTAAGTCTGTCATGTGACCTAGAGAGGAAGCAATGATTTCAATTATTAGATCTCCTGCTCCTCCTCATTTAGAGCATTGTTTCTCAACCACCGGTTGAGTGTCTGGTCCCTGACACCTCCCTGGCACACTTAGGAAGGCAGCAAGCCAGTCCCCGATATCAAGAAGGTTGAGAAACACTGATTTAGAGAGATTTCCCATTGGAACAAACTTGGGCACAAAAAAAAAAAAAAGAAAACATTCAAGGTGGTGTTTACTTGGCCAGCCATTCTGTGTCGTTCTTATTATCCATGAAGAGGCGTTCAAATAAGATTTCTCCCCCTTTGACGGAACTTACAGTAGAGAGACAATCCTGTGTTTGACATAGCTTGTTGCCATGGAAGTGAATGCAGTGTCACAAATTTAGCATTAGGACTAATTCAGGACTCATTTAGAAGAGAATAAAGGCTGCGAGGGAGTAAGCTCTTGTTCAAATACATCTGGTACATAGCAAATATGGCAAGAATTAATTATGGAGCTACACAAAGTAGTATTTGTTTAAATTGCTTTGCTTGCACTGACAGATTGTTTCTTAGCTACAAATTCATAAAGCAGTAAATCCTACAGGAAATACAGCAAACAGGCAGCTGAACCACTTAACCCTAGAGTAAATACTAGTTTAACAAATGCTTCATACAACATTAAAATATTGAGGGGGATAAAGATGGGATCCTGAAATGCTGGAATTGTGCGTCCTAATCAAGAGTTATTTACTCAATTCACAAAAAGTAACTCTCAATCCAAACTATGGTTTTGAATCCAATATCTGTAATAGCATACAATGAATGTGTATCCTGTTCTCTTGTCGTCATTTTAACAACAGAACTGATTTGAATAAAGATTTTCCCTCAAAAAGATAAAAAAGCAATCAGGGCACTTAAAACTACTGGTGCATTTAGAGCTATGCTAATTAATAGAGCACACAGCTTCATCTTTAATCACATCACTGCAGAGTCAGTTCTGAAAGTTGGGAGACAGAACTCTGCAGTTATTCACTATACATACAAAAGCAAATCTCACCAATTGAAGTGAAGAAGTCCATATGGGCATAAGAATGAGGCAGCAGAAAGCTCAGAACTAAAATACACCAAACCTTTACGGATGCCATAGTTCAATAGCTGTTGCTTCAGCACACACCTACAAGAGAAATACAGTGATTACTTTTATACAGCATAGCATTTAGCCAGATTTTACCCCTACTTCAGATGAAGCGTTTTTTTTATTCACACCGTTTCACCTGAAGTTTGTAAGGGGTCACAGTTCTATTAAACAATTTTTCTCCCTATTAACACATTACCCTTTTGGAATTATTTCCCTCCAGGCTGCAGTACTCTAAGAAGTGGAAATCTTCCCAAAGGACTGACAACATTCTGCAAACAGCACTTACTTGTATTGCTCCGTTATACAGTAAAAAGGAGAAGAGAGACACCAAAGAGGCATATTTTCACAAAGCAGTCTTTGCCTCTAAGAAGTCTCAGCAATGTTGAAGGCAGTGCCACCATAATACAATAAAAAGTTTTTTAAAGCCCAAAAATAAACAGAGCTAGACTGTGAGGAATCAAAAACAAATCACAATATATTGCATCAAAGTTGATTTTTTCAGTGTAAATATAAACATGAGATTGCAAGAGATCCCACATTGACAAATTCCATTAATAAATCATTGGTTCCCCATCATAACGTCTATACTGTATGCCTTTAGAAATGTACTACTTATAAGCCAGATGATACAGTAGCCTATAGAAAAGCCTGTAGTGAGTAACCGGTATTTCCTCCCATGAACTGTTGCCAGAGTTTTATAGACTTTCAAAGTCCCGGAATTTCACCAGAGCCTAGAATTTTCTCCCTATAACTTCTTTCTGTGGGTTCAGCTCAGGAGAGGAGAAGAGAAGGCTTGGGGAAAGAGAATGTGTGTTGTCCTCATCTTTCAGTATCCAGTAGGAACACCACTAAAAAACCTAGTCCTAACTGCATTTACCATTTCCACAGACCCTCTCCTCTGTGAAGCACAGAAGAAGCCCAGAGCAGCTGACAGCGACAGTGGAGGCAGCACTGGCAATAGTGAGCTACTATCAGAAACTATTGGATAGCTATGAGGACCCCAGTGGCACCAGAGCAGCATGGGGACTCCAGATCCTGATCTCCTGTAGAGCACCCGAGATCTACATGGATCTATGAGATTTCGGGGCTAGAACGGTTGACGTTTCTACTAGAGCTGGGGAAATTTTTTTTCAGACAAATAGATTATTTGTTAAAAAACAGTTTCAATCAACTCAAAAGCATTCACAAATTTGATCCGATTAGCTTCATCTGGGAAAAAGATTTTAGGGCCAGCTTCAGTGGGGGAAGGTGGGGGGGAGAGGGAGAGAGAGAGAATGACTCTATAGACCAGAAGAAGAGTTCTGTGAAAGCTGGAAAGCTTGTCTCGCTCAACAACAGAAATAGGTCCAATAATAGATATTACCTCACCCACCTTGTCTCTCTGAAGCTGGCCCTTAAAAGACAACTGAAGTGGATTTTTCTGATTTGCTGATAAATTCTGAGCACTTTTCAAACTGAGTAATTTCCCTGATTTTTCACTTCATTGGCCAAACCAAACCAAAAAATAAAATAAAATAAATACACCCCCCCCACACACAGTTGGCTCTGCTAACAAGAATAAGCATTAGTATAAACTGTCACTACTAAACACCTGTTCTCTAACCAACTTGCAGCAAGTACACAACCTACTACGAGAAACAGTGAACTGAGCCTGGAAAGTAAAATGGAAACTACACCTGTTTACACCCAGTCTGAAATTATCACCAGGGTGTAATTCCCCTGAAGCAGATGAAATTAGTTACATCAGAAATTAATATGCTCCCCAAATGACCCAGTTCCGCTCTCCTTTATTCAAAGGAAGCTGCATCCACATACTTGGGACCCTTAAGGTGCCAAAAGAAAGTCTTCAGAGGAGAAACAGATTGCCTGGACTGTTAGGGTACATTTGTACTGTAGCTGGGAGCATGCCTTGCAGCCCAGGTAGACAGATTTAGTGTGCTAGCTCAGAGTTAGCATGAAAATAGCAGTGTGGATGTTGCTACACAGGTACTGATTCAGGCTAGCCACCCGAGCTCAGACAGGCTTGGACTTGGGCAGCTAGCCCAAGCCATTGCCCGTGCAGCAACGTCTATTTTTAGCACGCTGGCTCAAACAGAGCTAGCAGAAGTCTACCAAGACTGGGAGGCATACTCCCGGCTGCAGTGTACACATACTTTTAATGCAGGGGTGAGCAAATGTTTTGGCCCGAGGGCCACACTGGGGTTGGAAAACTGTATGGAGGGCTGGGTAGGGAAGGCTGTGCCGCCCCGAACTGCCTGGCCCCCACCCCCTATCCGCCCCCTCCCACTTCCCGCCCCCCCTCTCCAACCCTCCCCCCACTCCTTGTCCCCTAACCGCCTCCTCCCGGGACCCCTTGCCCCTAACTGCCCCCAGGACCCCACCCCTATCCAGCCCCCCTGCTCCCAGTCCCCTGACTGCTCTGACCCCTATCCACACCCCCACTCCTTGACAGGCCCCCTGGGACGCCCATGCTTATCCAACCCCCCCCATCCCCTGACTGCCCTCCAGAACCTCGGGCCCATCCAACCGCCCCCTGGGACCCCCCACCCCTTATCCAACCCCCCAGCCCCGGCCCCCTTACCATGCCACTCAGAACAGCATGTCTGGCAGCCACGCCGCCTGGAGCAAGACACACTGCTGCTCTGCTCAGTAGGAGCAAGCAACCCTGAGGCCCAGAGCACTGCCCGTGCGGCGGTGTGGCTGCGGGGGAGGGGGGACAGCAGGGGAGGGGCTGGGGGTGAGCCTGCCCGCCGGCCGGAAGCTCAAGGGCCGGGCAGGACGGTCCCGCGGGCTGTAGTTTGCCCACCTCTGCCTTAATGTGACTGCTGAACTTTATTTCCAAGAAAGTTCAAGCACCTCCCACACATTCAACTGAAGCAAGCAAATAAACCTGTGCATTAACTACAAAGCATAAACAAACAATTCTACTACACTATAAATATTTGCTAACTTTGAGTTATCAGTACTTGGGATACAATGAACTATCATTACACTGTATATTCAGCAAAATACAAGAACAGAGCTTTTTGTAAGTTATCTACTTCAAACAATTTATTGGAAAAGATCAGATGCGTCTCCTATGCCGTGCGCATGAGCTGAAATTCTTCCACAATGTCAAACAATACCACAATGGAGGTCTTAGAAACTGCCAGACTGATGTACTCTAGCATCAAAGTTTTCCCCCTTCACCTTATCTCACAGCTTCTTCTAACAGTGTGGCAATCTCCCAGAAAGCTTCTGGCCCCAGCTGCAGTTGTATCCACTCCCTCCAAACCCTCTCTCTCAACCATCCCATACTCTTTTCATTGCCTAGATGGAGTCTTTCCTGGCATCTACAGAGAGCTCTGGATCCTCCAACAACTTCTATTACCATCCCAGAAGACTTCCATCCCTGCTGGAGCTCAGATATTCAGAGAAAAATATTTTACTTATAAAACCTGTAAGTTATATACGGTTTAAAGCATTCAAAATCATGTTTTCTCTCCACTTCTTCCATTCCTTCTACATACTAGTTGCACTAGGATTGTAAAACCCACCACAATTCCACCTACTCCCTCCTCCTGTTCCCCAGGAATATCAGAGGATACTTTAAATGTTAGGTCAAATAAAAATAACCCCTCTTCTTCAAAATGTGTTGGGTGGGTGTATAGTTGGAAATATACATGCATACACACACACACACACACCCCTCAGAGCAAATGGCAAACCATTAAAAAAAAGTTGAATAGAAACTTTACTTTTCTCCTCCTTGCCATTTGAAACTTCCAAGTCCTTCAATTTTCTTCTAATATAAATTCCAGACAGTTCTACAGTTTTCTCCTCTAAAACAGCTCCAACTAAGATAGCAACCATCTCAAGACCACAAGGCATCCTCTGTAAGCAAACAGATTTTCTTTACAACTGTTAAGTACTGCTCCTAGAGGAATATGGGTGTGGGTTTTTGTTTTTAAAGGAATAGATACCACACTTGGGTCTGCATCTCTCTTCCCAAACAGAAGAGTATTACATCTTTTTTAAAAGGAGTTATATAAATATTCACTCTCTTTGTGCTCTACAGACTGATGGGAGATTGCAAGAGAGTTACTGTCAAAGTAAATGTGCATAAAATTTCAGTGGGAGAGTAAAGGAAAAGTAAGTGACCCTGTGAACAAAGTAAAATTAAAGCAGCTATAGGCATACTAATATAATGCCATGCCAATTATTCATCTTGTTTAACTTGTCTTGTGGCCTGTTTGTTAAGCTCCCAGTGTGCTGCTTAGTTCCTCCTGTTAAAAATGTAGGTGTGCTTTAAAAAGGCATAATGCACAAAACTGCTATTCAGATCTCCACAGAGGACTGTCAGAAAAACCTGAGTTATCTAACCTGATAATCAGGGTTCAGCATTTCATCAGTTATACTGTGCAGCTTGACTAAATATACTGGTAGAAAATACAGCATAGTAGTGGGGGTGGGGTGTGTGTGAAGCTGTTCACTTCTTGTTGAAGCGTCTCAACTAGGGAGGTTTGTGCAAAGAAATCCTAATTTCTCTAACTGAATTAATGGTTACCAAACATACATCTCAGAATGTAGAGTAGTATAGGTACCAGAACTTTAATTTTGAAGTTCTTTCAATCATGTAATTCTTCAGCAACCAGTTACCAAAAGATATACTGTTGTGGTAAGTATGGTCTTATAAGCAAGGATCCAACTGCAACACACCAGTTCTGGTATCCGCACCCCACTAGTTATATACCAACACAATCTGATCCATTTAAAAACACAGATATAAAAGTTTAGGAGGTTGTTTATGGTCTTATATGTAGCCCAATGTGCCAACAGAGGGTCAGCTTTTTCAGCAACAAGGTAAGTCTTTCACCAAGTGAAATTTTTATCCAAGGCTTTATTTTTGACCCTCCGTGTGCCCACATTAAAAGAAACTAAGCAAAATGTGGCCAGTTAAACACACTTCCTGCTTTTCCAAACTTGGATTAAACCTTAGCTTGTAATAACTGTTGGGAGGAGGCAGAGTTCCACAAAATCCTCTTCCATCTGATCAC